CAAAAGAATCCTTGTCTGTTTCACTACATATTCTACATTACCTACGTGTATTCTGTTCACTTTTATTATTTATTATATGGTTTTTTTTATAAAAATGTAATCACAATATTAATCGTACTTTTCTGTTTTTCTACCCGTTCTTCCTATCTTCTCCTTTATTTCTGTCCCTTTCTGGAACAAATCAACATGTAATTCAAAGTACATTTCCTTGTAATATTTCATAATCATCATCGTCATTCAGTTCATGTTTATCAAGTAGCATCTTGTTTTATTGCATTGACTTTAATCAAAAATGCAGCGATGCTTCTGTATTTATCTTAATTTAAATGGAATATTTACATATCAGTATAATTTGTTTCTTTTCATTGCAGAAACAAATAAAATTTAATGGTCCAATAAGAATAGAGGATAAACATCCATCATCCTCTATTACCAAACATAATTGAAACAGGTCATAAAAGCGATCTTAATACGGCTTTTGTGGTGTTGTATAATAGTGCAAAACGGCGTATACTAAGGTTTATTGAAGCCTCAGTCATATGAAAATTCAAACCCCCTCTGTGTATCCAAAAACAGTTTGTTCTCACCTTAATTTTGTTTTTTATTTTATTTTAACACATAAATATTGGTACAAGGAGGCACCGAATACATATGCGCCACACATATCTCATTTGATATGTGTGAGGGCTGTGATACTGCCCGGGTGCCCAAACCGAAGCAGGTGGTTTTCTTAGGGGGCCACACCCCGAGCCTTTGACCTGAAGATTTGATCCACAAGGCAGTGGAGCATCGTGAGGAGATTCAGTCCCATGGTAGTCGGTGACCAACGATTGGTTCATACGCCATTTGTTCCTTCAGGATACTGGAGCCCATGTGCACCATTGATTTGGGATCCGGTTAAAGCGCCGGACATTCGCTCTTCGTCCTCTCATTTTCGTAAACAACACCCCCGCCACGAGAAGGCAGTGAGTAGGACTTCCCTGGCAGAGGCTATATACGCGTGGACCTACCCTGGTAATATTAGCTTATTATCGAGAGTGATGAGGTTCCAAATTGTTTTCACATTATTTTCTTTGTTATCCTTGTCTCCTCTTACCCTTCATTTCTAGTCTAGTCGACCTTTTATTTTTTTTATATACAAATGTTTTTAACAAGTATATGCGTGATCAGATTGTTCGAGATGTATTGCGCTAATATATCACATATTTCCGATAATCTTCGTCTTCTTATTATACTATCGAAATTTGTCAAAGTAACTATTTGCTTCAAATTCCTTTTCATTCATTAATATCACTAGTTTTCTAATAAAAACTCCTTTTTAATATCCGACTGATGATTATGTATTATAACGCTTCTGAACTGTTCACCATTTACTATATGATTAAACTGATGTTTCTCTTTCACTAATCAATAAAATTAGTAAATTTTCGTCCTATTAAAACTTTGCTCCGATGCCTAATTTTTTCTTTTATAATTATTACCATCACTACCTCTAGTACTCTGGAATTTGCCCTGAAATTTCCGTTTAGGTATACTAATGGGTCATGGAAACTCGAATCTGTGTACATATGTTCCAGGTTCTACGTTGCGTATGACTTGGTGTCATTGTGGTAAAAATTATTTCCTTTACTTAATCACTTGTACGAAACCTAATGATGTAAATATATATCTTTCTTTGGACACAGTGGAAATCAATATTAGACAATCAAAAGTTAACTGAAATTAACATAATGATTTTGTTTTATAACTATAAATGATAGATTAATTGAACTGACCTAGAAACAGTAAGAATAAATAGTCTTTAAAGAATAACAAAAACCTTGGTTAGATAAATCACACCTGTTGTTTCTCGTAAATCACCAACATACGAGAGAATAATTTATATTTAATGTTTGTTCGTTTGCTAAAATGTTCATGAAAATGTCTATTTTTCTGTGAGTTATTAAAGATACATTCCGTCCAAAATCAGTGTCTTTTACTTATCTGAAATTATCAGCAGTGTTTTCACTATTCAATAAATGTGCTGTGTATATCACTTGAGATCAATTTTTCCTTTCATTTGGTTGGTGAGTGCTGCATATTTGAGTGTAATTTTAACTAAGTGGTTTCACTCAGTTTCTGGAGCTATCTGTAACTGTGTTATGAATACGTCAATGTAGCGCACCCCTAAATGTAGGATTAGAAATAGAAATATAGTGAAATTTATCGCTTAAAGTTAAATGTTTAATGAAAATCACACTGTTATTCAGGATTGACGTACTAAGTAAATGGAAAAGTGACCGAAAGTGATGTATCAAAACTCACTTATTGAACATTTAAAAGGTTGCAGACAATTTCACTATTGAGTTTTTATTAAAACTCTATTATGTTCACAGGATTTTTGTGTAACAATTTAATACTGATAATCGCTTTTTTCACCAAATCGTCTTTGAAAATTGCTTCTTGCTTACTTTTGTATACCAATAGATGGTCTGAGAATATTTGTTATATCATTTGTACAGCTTAATTTTTCCTAAGCTGTAAAGATGCCATAAATATTGAGTATATTCATTCGTCTTAAGTTATCACTTAAGTAGTCAAATCCTAGCTAGTAAAAATTAAGGGTTACTATGTTGTCATAATTGCTAGTAATCATTTGGAAGCTTTAAATTTTACCATTTTTAACCTTTCATCAACAAAACATATTTCCGGCATTATTAAGACCCATTTCACTGTTTAAATGTTACTATCATGGGAATTTCGGCTAGTTTTCATTATTAAGTTACGCACAATCGTAAATATACAACCTTTAGTAGTCAAATGTAATTGTCTCGGTTATCTTTATTCACAAATTTTTATATTATTATTGTTATTACTATTGGTTAAACGTCCTTACTAACCTCCCCAATACATGATTTCTTTACTTCGCATTCATCCCACCTCATTATGTCTTCCATTAAACATTTGATCGAAATGTAATTACACTATTATTTCTCTCACCCTATCTGACCCATATTTATTCTGATCATGGATCTTAAAATTCTCACTTGAGATATAAGCTAATTCAAGTTAACATTCCATTGAGCCATATCAACATTAACAATTTTATTCTATTTTGTTTGACAGTCCTAAATTAATATGCTTTAACTTTAAACGATGCACTTTACCCTTAACCTGGCCATTTTTCGGATTATTAATTTGGATATATAATTGTAAGACCTGAATAGAGTTTATCGGAAAGAATATTCTTCATTCAAATATTAGTCTTTTAATATGATGGGGATTTTTAAACAATCATAACGAATACTTTCTATGCTGATATATCGAGAAGAGAGCTAAGAAAATTACTAACATTTCTCTGGTATTCCATCGGAATTTAATTAATAAGAAAAAAGACTGGTTTTTCAAAGAAATACTTTGTGTTATACAAATATCCCAAAACATTTCCCTACCAAAAAATATTAAATTGTCAAAGCCATGTTGTTTGATTTAATGCTGGTTGGTATTGGTAATTATTAGCTTGCTAATTAAATTAGATAATTGACCAGGTACATGTTCACATACTTGGTTTCGAGCTTGCGACTTTTTAAGTGAAAATCATACACCCAAACCACCATATCATAACTCTGGTTTTTAAATAAAATTTTCTGTTAACATATTGCGTTAAACTTGATTTTTTTAATTCAATAAATTAAAACCCTTTAATATTCGAATCTTCTGTGAATCCTTTATTTCCATAAATAAAACTTTTTATATCACACACACATGTAAGTTTAAAACTCGACTTGATATTTTAGAGTTACTTGACTATTATCATTATCTCTCTTCAAACCTTCAACTATTCTGTTTACAATTAACACATTTCATCCAAAAGCAGATTTACTATCTGTATTTGTGCTTGTGTGCAAGGTTGAGTGGTTGTGCACTGGCTTACTTCATAGGTTTATAAATTTATTTCTAATCGATAAACTTCATATTGCAAGCTCTATGAGATGCTTTTGACCTACCTGAGTTTTGCATTTTGTTCGTATATATATATACCATGGATTCCAATACAACCTTGAATGTTTACAAACAAAAAAAATAATACAACAAACTATTGTGCATATTTTAATTTGTATTATCAATATAAGAAGATAAAATCTCAGGTATTGATTGATCAGTTGAAATTAGTTAAATCTGGTGAGTTTTGAAAACTGCCAATGTTGATGATAAAATGGATTGTTTTCGATTCTTGAACACCTTAACTATAACAAAAATAAGCATAGCAAACAACTTTTAGTTAAGAGTAAATGAATACTTCTGTTTGATACATTGGTCAGTTTGGGGATTTGTGATTTCTATTTGAAGTGACCTTTTATGCTTAACTAGAAACCCTAACACTAACGTGATTATTGTTTGTATAGCATAGACTTTAGCACCAATGATAATGTTTCCGCCACTAAATTGTTCACTGATCTCGAAGTTTTTTTTTCAATTCATGGCATTCAGTGAATTATGTAACTAATTAAAGCAAACAAAGCGTAACAGGATAGAACTTAGCATTACAAGTGTAGATTATGGCACTAACATAACTAGAGAGTTAAATGAACAAATTGTAGGACAGTGAATGTTTGTATCATAGTAATATTCGTATAATTCCTTAGATAAACTTTTATGGATAAATCAGAACATTTTGATTTGTTTTCTCATTAAACTTTCCAATCGTTTTTCATCGATTATCTTATTCACTGATGAGCTATTAATCGGGAATTCTTTCTCTACAATGTGTTTCGTCTCGAATTTAATGATGAAATACTGTGTCAGTGATTTCATTTGAATTTTCATGGGGAATCGAAAGATTTGTTTAATTAAAAAATGAAAAACACAAAGCTTTTTTCTGTAAAAAAAATCTCAGTAGCCATCTTTCAAGGCTAAACAATATATAGTACAATTTTTAATGAGCTTAGCTAGTTTCTATTCAATGTGAACAATGGTGTATTTTATTCTTCATTTTACTTTGTTTCTTTTTGTGATTTTAGTTTTCTAGTAGTACACCACCTCTTGGTCGTGTAATGGGTAGGAATTTCGACGATGAAGGTGAAAGTGATGTGAGTTCTGTTGTCCATACTTTAAACTATAATCTAATTTGCAATTGAGTGTGTTGTAACATCTTTCAACTCCTTATACTTTTCTTTCAGTCTATGCTGTGGGTTATATCCTATTCGTGGTTTTTCTATCTATCAATAATCGTATTGAAATTATTTGTATTACAACAATTGTTAGTTATCTCAAATGAAGCTAAATTTTTGATAGTTTAGTGGTTACAGTTCCGGTGTTCATTTTAACGACTTGGCGGCAGATTCAAAAACCATTTCATCTATCTGCTTAACCAGTTCAACCGCCCAAGTATAATTAGTTGCTCTTACACCAAAGCGGATAATAGTAATCTGTTACCTCATACATAAGTTAGATTTACGTTATGGACCAATTAAACAATTAGTGCAAACCAATTGTTGGTTTCCTGAGATTACAATAATTCAATAAATACAATCATGAATGTAACTTTCATAAAAAAGTACTTTAATTTTACATCGTTCACATTGTTTGAAATCAAATAATTAGCTATTGTGAAATCATCTTGCCATTTACTATGGTTACATGAAGAATATTGAAACTTAGAATAATTGGTGATATTCAGCTTTCACTGAAACCTAAACGATCAAGAATAGTGATAACAGCAATAATTTTATTATCCAAACCATTATTGTGCACTGGAATACAACATCGCTATGGAAGAATATGTATAACTGTTTAACAATTATAAGCATCAGTAGTAAACGTTGTTAGATATCTCTATACTTTACAGTTGCAAGTTTAACAAGAAAAATGTCTGCTTCTAATTCTTTCACTTCACACAATAGTCTCGATAAGCCACCACAAAACTAGGGTTGATCAACTAACGGTATAGTGAACGAGAACACAAATGGGGACAACCAAGTTTATTTGAGTACATAATTGCAGGATCTCTTAGTAAGATCCGAGAGCTATACAGTAAATACTTCATTTGCAAAATATCAATCAATTATCTCAAACTTTATTGTTCTTTTATTTCGATACCAATCACTCTCTGTTCTCCTTTTCTTCTCTTTGGTCTTATCAACCTTCTGCCACCAGACATTCCACTTTCGACGGGTAATATATACTACTTATATCTATCGACATCAATGGCATACACCATAACGGCATTGAGTATGACAAAAATGTTCAAGATTATCAATATTGCTAATAATAATAATAATAACAGTATTGATATTTAGTTTAATATTTAAATCTGTTGTTTTTCCCATTTGTTTACTCTTAATTTAAGCCCTATATACATATATCTAGTCTAGATTGGTTTGTTCTAGAATTCAGCTCTAGTGGATTAATTTTTCTCATTACAATTTCATTTGTCTTATCATAATCATAATCTTTAATCATATAAGTTTATTTATTTATTTGTTTTTTAATTAAATTTTAAAATCTCCATTCAGTTGAACCTTTTCTACTGTACTCATTTCTTTACGTCACTCATCATTGTTTTCTATATAATAAGTGGATTGTCAGTAATTTTCGTACTATCTGAAGATAGATTGTATTTGTTTATAAATTAAATATTATTTTTAATATACTTTTGGTATTCAATTGTAAACTATTCACATATCAACACTGTATTCAACGTTTTCTTAACGATTTTTTTAAGGTATATGTGTATATATTATCACTAAACTATGATGACGTTGTTTATAGAAATACTTATCAATCAATAATTTGTCTTTCCACATCTCACCCTTTTAAGATATATATGATTGAGTTAGGAGTTGAACTAGTGTTTATATATGAATGACGTGAATTTGTTCTACCTTATTGATTAATAGTACTCTTAGAGTGTTACTTGTGTATTGTGAAACATCTGTGCACTTATTGGTCTCTGGATAATAATCAATGTCATGTAATTTTCAGTATAGGGGTTGTGGAGATTATTAAGTTTTTATTCAGTAACTATTAGTTGCTCATAGATGAAGCAACTTCCGATATAATAAAGAGGCACTGGGACAGTAAGTTGTAAGTTCAAATCGTGACCCACTCACTTTGATGTGACAATAGGGTAGGATTACTATACTACATACACACAGAAAATTGTGACCTGAAAGCAAGTATACAATCACGTATTCGATTAATATGACTTATCATAACCTTTATATCTTTCATTAATTTTAGGAGACATAGTAACATTGTGCTGTTCATTGAAATTCATTTGATCAGTACCATATATGTAGTATTTCACTCCTCTTCTATACTATTTCCTTCCTATGTAATGTTTTTGTAGATTCATCCATTCTCTGTCTTTTTCTCAGAAATGATAATTAAAGGAAGTTGGACTAATTTCATGTGTGCTCCGATTTCGTTATTATTATTATTATTATTATTACACATTACACTGTGTTCAATAGTTCTGTACCTACAGTTTTATTCATACCGTAGTAATTTGAAACGAATTAAGAAAAGAAAATGTAACCTAATTCTCGTTTGTATAACTTGATTTTATTGTAAGATCAACCTATTTCAGATTGCATATCGCTAGTGTTTATCTCCAATGTAAACGTGTATATATGCACAAAGTTACCTAATTAGTATCATCAACCTAATAACAATAAAATAACTTTGGAAAGATCATGAACTATTTAAAGATCCGATAAATGATAAACTAAATCAATCATATAATAGGGAAATGAAATAAATGTAAGTTGTTAGTGCTAATTGATTATCGAGTAATTACTACTACATACAATTCAAAGGTTTATAAGTTTTCCTCATAGATACTTTTTATTTGAAGATATCATCTAAGTGAAATAGAATTGTACATCATTTATGTAAAACTTAACATTAACATTTATTCCGAATGTTGTATTTAAATTCACATCATTGAATAACACAACTAAATTATAGGCATTTTCAGTAATTTATAATATCTTGTAGAGTTCTTTTATAAGCATTCTCAATTATACATTTCATAATATCACTCCAATAAGCTTTTTGTCTTATTATTATTTAAATATAATACACTGCTTACTTAATATTTTTGTCAGTATGGTGATGCTTATTGCTGAGGAGTTCTATACTAGAACGAAACTGCTGTTCAATGTTTTCAGATTTTCAGTAATGGTCTAGCTTAGATTAACTCAAGAATTCAAGTATTTAGTAATTCACTATATAATATAGTTGTTAGCATTGATAATCTTATTTGTCAAAATATTTACTCTGTCTTATTTTATTTATATTTTATAATCTTGTAATAAACAATTTACATTCTACAATTAACTTTTAAAATTGAACTCTATCGATTTGAATATATTAACTAGAAATTTTTTTTCCAAAACTGAATATTAAATTGTTTCTAATTATGATTACAATAATTCATTAGTTCAATATTAATCTCATTTTAATTCAGTCTCTTTTTAATTTATCATCAATCAATATTTTCTGATCATCCTAATTAATTTGTTATAGTCTGATTTCTGACCAAATGATATATATATATATGGAGAGAGAGAGAGAACTGTGTGTATATTGTCTTGCACAAAACATCATTTATTTAGCAAACGAATCCTAATATTGATTTAGTAAAGAGAAAAGAAAGATTTTATTCCGTGAATTGGAATATGTTGAATTTCGAAATTAGATACTCTGATAATATATATATATATATATATATATATATATATATATATATATATATATATATATATATATATATATATATATATATTTGTACACTGGCAAATATATATGTATATATAAACAGTATTTGCGTTACGGTTTTAAGATATTTACAAATTACAATCCATTCATGATATATTTCGTAAAGTATCAAAAAATTGTTTACATGATGTCTGTTTGCTTCTCTCTCTCTCGCGCTATATATATATATATATATATATATATATATATATATGGGTGGGAGGTGAGATATATGTATGTGCGCATAGTCTGTACGCTAACTGTATTTTACATGTGATTGTTGTACTTTCGTCTCGTGCATTATTTATTCGAAATTCTGTTTTGATCTAATCAATATTCTGGTTCCAATTAGAATGAATTGAATAGTAATAATTATAATAATTATTATTATTCGTACTATAGAGATAATCGATTATTATGGAATGTTTTTAGTGTGCATCATAATTTTGACCAATATATGTATTTTGTATTTTGACTGTCCAAGAATATTACTTCGAATATTTGCATGTCATCCAGTGTATTTATCATATATTTATTTGATTAATATTATGTAATAATTTGAAATCGTTTTATTTTTGACCATTAAAGCTTATCTACTTCAACGTCTGCTAGAGATTGCGTATTTTGTTTATTTCATTTGTCGTACTCAGTAAATGGATTTGTGTAACAAATTACTTATCAAAGTAAATTACACACTGTGAGGAACACTCCTCACTGGGGAGTGAAATTCAAGGTTATTTTATCTCTTAAATCTATCAAATTATATCCTACTTTAAAATCGATCGAACATAAACGGTTTTTTTCTGAGGTATTTATTTACTGGTTAAATGTTTCTGCTCAGTAACTGTCCATGCTATTAAATTCATATTCTTTAAGCGTTATAAGAAATTTATGAAATTGACTGCTGAAAAGAAATATCGGACATACCTCTGTATCATGATAGTTAAAGAGTATTCAGAAAATTATTTAACCAGTGAATCTTGTTCATAGGTAGATTACCTGATTATTGAATACAACTGTCTTCAATTTAACTAAATTCTTTGGTGATATCAATAAACGAAAACTTTTATCCTTAAATCTTCAGGTTAAATTACATTTTTTCTGATAAATTATTGCAAACATCATTCTGTGAAGCAGTAGCAGGTTACAGTTTCAACATTTCACTGTATATCTTCTGCATTATGTTTTCTGATTTCCAGCTTAGCAATGCAAATGATCTTGCTCACTTATCATCAGAATTCGACAGTGCAACGTCAGTATTGAATAGTCCGGCTAAGTTTGCTATGTTTATTGATTACTTGTTTTCTCATAAACGAGATCCTACATGGACGGTAAGTACAGATGTTCATCTTTTTAGTTAACCTATCGTTAACTGTTATTTTGTATATTTAATTAATTTTTTTTTTACTGTAGGATACGTTCTATCTTAAGATGTTTGTGCCAGCTTACCACAGTGACTCCGTTGAGCTACACTGATTGCGGCACTTGTTGCTTAACATCTTACCACGTCAGGGAAGTCGGATATTAGTATGCTTATAGTGCAAGTAGTTTGGATTAATGTTCGCGAGTTATCGACCCGACAATTAAAGCGTACATTTAATTACAAGTGGTTGTAATAGTAGTATGATTTACATTCCTAATCATGCAGCCTCACTACACTACAGAGAACGAAATATTTTCATACAGAAATTCTTACACTCAACCTTGTTTTATGGATCCCTGTCGCCGTTCATGGGCTTATTTCAGAATGAAGACTTTCCACAGCAATCATCATATGCAAAAACACTGTGATTGACTGCAAGAAAAGTGGTTTTAGTACATAAATAATCTCAGCGAGAATTCAGAAAGGTTCCTTCGGTTTTAGTAACTTGCATCACTTGTGGTGTTGGTGAATGTTTATTTCCGAAACATAGGACTGATATACTGAGTAGGAGTTCGCTCTGACTGTGGACTTTAAAAATAGAGGACATCGGTAATTTAATAGTATTCGATCATAGGTACCTTTGGTTGTGTTTGAATTATTGAATGAGCAATACCAGAGTTAGACGCAAACTACTACGTAAAGATGGGAAATCTGTTGATGTGGTTGTAAATATTCATTGACTGGTGTGGTAAAGATGTATTACACTAGCCCAACCACCATCTACCTCGAAGCGTATTGTCGTCTGTCGTACGTATATTTTGGTATGAAGTGAAGTCATTGATTGTTGGACTGCAGATTATCGTATCAGGATCATTTGTGTGATAACAATGATCACTGTTTATGGATTTTGTGAGCAACTCTAAACAATATAATTCACTAACTTTGTTAGGTTCATTCTTTAACCTTCTCTTGACGTTAAGTTACACAATTCCTTCGTACATACGTTTCCATTCTACTTTTTCATTTCATATTGTCAATGTTCAGTTTTTCTTATTATCTCTGCTACTACGTTATTTCGTCTCCTTAACTACTTATTTTATTAGTATTATCTCTTCGTGCTGATGTGATATAGCGATGCGAGCCAACTCACATTTTCCCAAGGTTATACCTTGATTATAACTGATCAATTTAAGACTTAAGTTCTCTGTGGCAATTTTTCTTCAAAATTTTCTAACCGAAATTATTTTCACTATGCATTGATTGATTACATCTGAGTAATCAGTTGTTTGTTTAGAGCTTTCGATTATTTGAAATGTATCGATGGATATTGCATAAAATCATCATAAATGTAATTATATATATATATATATATATATATATATATATATATATATATATATATATATATATTCCATTCTTTTAGCTTTTCCACATTGTCAACCAATACTTTCAACGATCAATGGCTTCATCAAAAGAATTGTTTAAAGATGAGAAACGTGTTTGTCTGGAGATATTTACAACGTTTCTACATGAAAAGTCTGTAAGTCACAATGTTTCTACGTATGTAACTCATGGGATTCCTATTATAACTATTATTGTTATTTATAATTTGATCATTTGTTAACGTTTTTTTTAATCAAATATCACTAACGAATAGCTCAGTTTATTTTTGTCGTTGATATCACTGCTAACCTTTAGTTGTGCTTTGGAAAATTATTTCATTAGATATATCATCGGTCAGTACTTAATTTATTGATTCCATATTGAATAACTCTTTTATTACCCATCGTTTACAAATTAACAATTCTAAAATAAAATTATCATATTTTAGTCAATCTAGATTTCATTCGAAATTTACGATGCTGATCACAATATTTTTTTTGCAAAGACAAATTGTACTCAACTATAATCAACAAAACATTAACTATGTAATAATCAAAATAGTTAACAGACAAAATACATGAATCTTACTTTGCAGAGCCAATCTCTATCAAACCTTTACCGACCTGACCGATGTATGCGGAAAAAAATGTAATTCCCTCGACGTGGTTATTAGATGTTTATCTAATAAGCCTAACACAACGAATAAATGTGCGTGAAAGAGACCCGTTCAGCTGAATAGCCTTATTTCTTCTCCAATCACATAATTTTAATTTTCACTTTTTTTCAACCATTTCTCCAACATTTTTATTTTTATTATTTTTTCGTCTTCTGATATTCATCCTTTACAAAGTCATATTGATATTCATACATTTGTTTATTTTATCATGTTGAGAAGTTATCCAATCACTTATCACTTTCCACTACCCTTATATAATCTATTTTATCTTGATTATGATTTCTGGTAACTATAACACCTGTTCCACTCTTCATTATTACTTTCAGACATATAAATACACATTGATCTTAACTATATTTATTCATACACTTTGTGTCCTATTCTTCTTATTTTAATGATTTTAATTACATTTCAAAAACCTATCTAACCTATTTGTTGTGCAGTTAGAAAGTTGTTTAGCTCCATAAAGCCATTGATGCAAACTTGAAACTATGTCTTTGAGATTTTTGCATCTCGTGTACTAGTAGGAGTGTAGCGAACGATAACTCAGGTACGGTAAACTAATGTATTGTTTTATGCAAAATTACATTGTGCCTTCGTAAAACATGAAATTATACATTAAATACATCTTTTGCATATCTTCCTTGACCTGTCCTTTACATACTCCATTATTCTTCCGAATCTGTTGTTATTCCACTCGCTTTATGTTTTCATTCCTCTTCCTTTCATTTCAATCTTATGTTGGTAAGCATTTTGCATCTTATTCCTACTACATATTACTTATATCCGTCTGCACAAGTAGTACCCACCACTCAAATTCTTGCATATGAATTCATGAAATTATAAACAAATATTGGATTATATTGTTCGGTAATACATTTATATAAAATTAGTAAATTATCTTTGTTATTGATTCCTGTTTCATTTAATTTTAGCCGTTGCGTTTAGATGTACGAACTCCAGTTGTGTTGAAGTCATTTGATTTTAATGAATGCTCAAAATTGTTCAATCTTATTGATCAACAATGTTTGAATCAAATTGAAGTACAAGTTTCCAAATTAGCTGAGGCAATTAATCTAGGTAAATTTTATATTTCACCGTCTCACTTGCATATGGTTTGCTTATCAAATCCGTTGTCCTTTTTTGTATGGACCTATTATGATTCTCAGTTGAGGTTCATAAATGATATCTGTTGGTGGGTTGGCAAAGTGTCATACACACTTTTGCTCGATTTTAAAACTGATACCTCACTGTGTATATGATATACTTTCTACCATAGATTAAACGAACTATTGTTATCTTTTCTCTAATTAATATAGTTTAATTCACTATAGATTTTATTACTTTTGGACGATCTGAACTATCCTCAGTTTTCTAATAATGAACAGTATCCTAACCTCAAGAGTTTTTCGGTCACTTAGAATTTTGTAAAAATCTGCATTGGTCAAAGCTCGCATACCGTATCAGCGTGACTAGATAAAACTACAAGGTGAATAGCAATCAAGTCAAAATAACTGTAGTAGCAGTGATAGAAAGATTGTGTTGAAAATGTTACGAAAATGCAGGGTTAAATATTTTGTATAAAGGAATAGTAAAACTGAAGAGTGAATGGATCTGTGCTACTATGTTCGATCCCAAATTTCAACTACTTAGTGTGATTATAGCATAGACCCTCACCAGATAGTTTCCATTTACCGGTATACGTTAGGCCAATAGGCAGTGTCATCGTGTACACTTTTCATATCTTAGTTCAGACATTCTATTACTTTCTCCTATTTTCTATTTAGCCACTAATACACAGTTTACATGTAGTTAAAATCCAGCTTCTAATCTTCACTCTTTAGTTTGTTATACTTTATATTCTATCTCAAAGGAAATACATTTTACAGACTTCATTCATATTACTCACCTTTATCTATCATTGAAAATTATTGTCTTTATCTTTGATTGCACTTTTCACTTTTTACCAGGTATGGATACATGGTGTCTTTCTGAGCCAATTGATTTCGTTCTATTTCGTAATAAAGAAGAAGAATTGGCATGTTTCGAATCGCGTCTAAGTAGTTACCTTGATGCGTTGCATCAACTGTTTACCGGAAGTTGTACAGATAATCCAATCGCTCTTAGTATATGTCGATTGCCAAACACATCTGGATCAGTTACATATGAACAAATTACTCAGGCAATTACCACTTGTTTGGTTACAGCTCACCGGTATTATTCCATATCTCAGATATCAAGTGCAGATTATCCTGAAACTAGAGATTCTGGACATTCTATTAGACATAGTCTTTTTGCAAGGTATGTTACTAGTGCCCATCGTAAAATCGAAAAGTTGAGTTTAAAACTACCAATAACATTTAGGATCTGTTTGTTTTGACGCGTAGCTTATCAATTCGAAGAAAAATTCATAAATATTCCGGTTAGAATACCCTGTAAACATGATGATTTTGTATTTCCAATATGGGATTTAAGTGAGAAAATTATACAAAGCGGCTCTCCGATTTACAGTCATTTCTTTTTTTTTGGTTAAACTATTTCAAGTGGGTTACGTGAATTGCACGTAATTGGTATGATCTTCCGTATATATGAACCAATCGGGATTTCGTTCTTAATCTTCTTCATTTGTACTAACATACAAACCTATTTGAGTTCCTTAGATAGTGTAGTGTACAGCGAAAGGTCAACAGTGTTTTCCACATTCCCAATTAACTTGTTTTCATACAAATATTTGTATATTTAAACTCAACTTGTGAATTCGATAAATATTGCAGAAAGATATCTGGTATGATGATATTGTAGTACTTCTCTTATTTTTCAAACTGTCTTTCACATTTCAAAAAGAAACATTCATTTCATTATCATCATTCTTTATTGTTTTGTTAATAATTGTTGTCATAGAGAATACTCTATAGTTTTCTTTCATATTTCGAGTAAGGGTTAAGAAAAATTACTCATGAAATTAATTCACTCCGATATAATAGAGAATTTATTTAGGAGAATAGGTAGCAGATCAATATTGAAATATCAATTAATTAATTTCATCAGTTCTGAATAACAACCTTGAAACAATCGGACAGAATGCAGATGTACCTTGTTTTTTATTGTTTGTTCTATTTGTAAAGTTATGTCGTTTTTTTAGTGGGAGAAAAGTAAAAATGTAAAAAACCAATCATTTGATTTTCATACTATGACATTCCTCCTTATTTGTTAACTTTATTCACAAATAAAAGTCAAACTAGAAATGAAATTATTTTATTGTAATAAAAGATCTCAACTACAAACTGATATCAGCACTTAAGAGCTATTTAATAACTAACAAGTTGTTTTGTCTTGGTTTACGATCCAGCAGAATTTGTGATCCATCCAACTTTCAGTCTACTACACGTTTTTGTGGCAGTCACAATTTATTATCAGACAACTACCGTTTCAATCCCGTCCATTAAGTTACAATATGGCCATTAGTTTGAGCGACTCAACATCACCTTCTATATGTTTTGTTGTTAGGTTTTTAGATCGATAGGATTTGATCCACAAATACATCAGCTTCTACTTCAAGATCAATCAATGTAAATGTCTCAGTCCTACATGATAAGGTCAGTCGTAGCCCAGATGACTTATTGATCATGTCTTAGATTGTGGAATTAAGTAACCTGTGTTCGAATCCATTCTACGGCTCTATTCCTCTTTAGATTTTCTTTTATATCTTTCTGATGGGTTCTAACTAACATGGAATATTAGTCCAGACTTCCCTGTCAATTATATTCAACTAGATACTTTTAAAAAGTATCTGATCTTAACCCTCTTAGTTTCATATATTTTACACATGAACTGTTGATGATGTTTTTCTTTTCTTTTTTAACATAATCAGATCTTTTGAGAATTTAACTACATCAGCATTGGGTTTAGGTAGTGTATCAGGTAGCATTGGAAGTGGACTGTCATCTGCTGGTTCACATTTATGGACAAAATTAACTCCATATTGTGCTAAATCAAAACAAAAATCACATTCTTTGCTTAATCGTAAAAGTAAAGTGAGTAACATGTTGATTATTACAAACGTTTGTTATTATTATTTCAATTTTTTATGAGAGTCTTTGGCTTTTGTTTTTCACTTTCGTACCCTAAAATGGAATAGAGACTTGATCTTCAGTTTCATGTATTTCAATTCGTGGTAGATATATTATATAACATTCTCTGATGTCAAATATGAAATTGATTTTTTAAAACTTAGAAATGAATAACATTGCAAAATATGTTCCTTTTTTAATCGATTAGGTTAGTGAGATCACATTGTCAGAACATTATACACGAATACATGGTAATATAGAAAAATCATACCGTAACCAAGTACTCACAGTGTAATATGAGAACCAGTCAAATGTTTACAAATATATATTCATTCTAGACTGTTAATTTATCATAGAACACATCGTTATTCACTGAATGCATACACATACATACACAGTGACTTTACAGTTTAGGAAGTTATAAAATCTTATACACTAAAGATAGGTAGTTGTGAGCTAAATATATTTAGGTGATTCTCTATTTATCAAGACATATGATATTAATATACATGATTAAGTTAAAATCGAATACATTTGTTGGTGACGGATATTTGTATCATACTTGGTTTCTATCAATGGCTAATTCAGGTCAATGAATTCAGATCACTAGTTTCTAATCTAAATGGTAACTTCTTAACTGCTAGATCTTGAGATTTAAAATTTCTTCCCTCATTCAGTCATGTATGTACACTGATGTTGATGCAACAATTATTCAGTTCTCAATAATTCTTTAATGTTAAATTATCATCTACACATTTCACTCTAAATACTTGCCTTACATTTTCTAATTTGATCATGTCATAATATTTATAATTTAAACGAAAACTATTACAAATTATTCGTCGTTTTTGAATCAACAAGTTTTATAAAACGGTATTAGAAACAGAACCTTTTTTTCTTAAAATTGTAATTTACTATTACTTATTGTTAATTGACAGAATTCATTAACTTATCTAAAAAAAATACTTCAATTTTAACAGTGTTTTCTTTTTTTGACTAGATAGTGAATAAATAATAACAAATCAATTACTAAGGGATATTTCATTTGAATTAGAGAACTGTTTTTGTTATTGTGGTCGTCAAAATTTCTAATTTAACCATGTCTAATCAATTTTTGAAATATTAATAGTTTTTTTGAAGAATATATTTTAAATTAAGTTGAAATGATTTGCCTATGAAGAAGATTCTAGCACAGGAAACAATATAACCATTATAATAACTAAAAATGTTGATATTTGATTAACATTATTGAATATTTTGTTATTGTCCAATAACTTTCATATTATCAAATTATTATTTGAATTATTCCTTGATGAATGTCATGTATTTGTTCTTTTTTTCTCTGGGAAAAACCAATACGATTTTAGTGGTCTCACAAAGGTCATTTATTTTATGAATACACTTACGAACGTATTGCTGATTGTGGTGTATGTGGATTTTTATTATGGGGACTCAATTCACAAGGTTTCAATTGTAATAGTAAGTTCAATTTTTTCACGCATCAAATATAGCTATACCACTATTGAAGTTTGTATAAGTTGTATTCTTCTATTTCTATGAAAGGACATCTTTTGTTTTCAGATAGTCGACAGAAGACCGGGCACCTAGGTTTTATGTTACTTGGCACTCATCGACTAGGTGTGTATGTTCTATAATCATCACTCAGTGATCAATCGATTTAAGTGTCGCAATCATACAGAGAGGGTAACATTTCAAATCGTGAAACTGTATTGACTTAAATTTGGATCTTACAGAGAGCGTCAGTTTCCTCAAAACAGAAAGTATGTCTTGCTGATTGGTGTCAAATATCTCAAAACTTGGATCCAGCGTTTCCTGTTGACTCTCTAATCGACAAACTTCAAAATATATAATATACTCTGTGTTGAGTCACTTAGACTAGTGACTATATTGTAAATTGGTTGACTGTTCTAGTTCAGCATTAAAGGACTAGATAAACATGACATTACTTATTGCTCAGTGATCAATCAACTTAATGAATTGCAAATTATTTAAACTTATTCTTCTGTATTTGAGGTTAAATCAAGCAACTTATCTCATTCCATAATTTTCACCAATAACGAATATCAGTGAATAAAGAATCGTACTTTTTAGCTCCGAATTGACTCATTAAAAACTTATGTCGAATACAGTATATGTCAACACAGAGTTCATTGACTTCTATTTAGTTACTAAGTTATATACTAATGAAATAATTCTTATCACTCATTATCGTTAACTGATATATCCACTCAACTTACAATTCACTTGATAATGATAAATACTTTTCAAAATCATTATTTCAAGGGTTTCATATTGTTTCAAAGTTGTAGATAAGTTTCTCCGATGTTTTCTTAATGTCCAACTATGATAAAGACAGTTTATTCTCTTACTTTGTAGATTGTGATCTATTTATACACTTAAAATGTAAAAATGGTATTCGAGATCATTGTAGTAGGGAAGGTCGTAGAACAACGGGCGTCACATCTGCAAATGTTTTAAGCGGTATACTTGGTAGCATACCAAATCTAACAATGGATACACATGTTCCAGGTAACACACCGTATGAATCATGTAATAAAGTCCCCTTAAATTCCAATCAAATCGGTTCGAGTGATTTTATTCATCACGGTAAGTTGTTTATAATTTTTATAGGTGTTGTGGCTTTTGTTTCTCCCTGTTTGGTTGGTTGGAAAATTTATTGGGAACATTCACCAAAGTAATACTAACTGATTTTATCATCAAATTTAGTTCAACATTATGTTGAACAATGTATCTCAAACAGTTCGAAGCATTCTGCATGTTACCATGGAGTTTCATAACAAACTTACGAGAGTCATTTGGGTATTTTGGGCATCAGAAGTTTGGAACTAAATTATCTTAATTCCAGAAACAGTATATGCTTCTTTGATTTGTTCGTTGCAGGTTTACTATTCTGTTGAGTACCAACAGAAAGCAGAACGCAAGAAATGAATTTAAGAATAATTTTCTTTCATTTTTCACGCGACACTTTTCAATATTGTTGATTCTATTCATATGTGTTATACCATTACAACGTGTAGTGTGGTACCAACAAATCTAGATAAGAAGATTAATAGAAGATACAGATTTAGTCACAATTATCCATAGTTTCATACAATGTTTCCAATTGTGAAGTGTAGTGTAAAGATTCACAATCTTTATCGAGGAAAGCTTTTATACAGACTTGGATTTTTCATTTTATTCAGAGAGAAAAGAATAAGTGAATCGAAACACTTTTATTCATTGTATTGTTTTTGGACTAGCAAATAACTAACGTAATGCATTAACGAATCACTTATCATGGACTTAAAAGTGTAAAAAAATGTTTTGTTGGCATCATGGCCTAACACTTCAATATACTGTGTTACAGATCCATAGAATAATTGTGATTTCTAACTATTAATTCTTGTCCACCAATTATGATATATTGTCCATAGTGATCATTCGTTTTCTGTTTGAAGCCTCTTTAACTTGTTACTGATTTTCTAAGTTAAATTATATTTTGTTATTGAAGTGAAATAGCATATGATATTCACTGTGTTTTTGTGATTATTAATTAAAATTTCTTTTTTATTCTGTTTTCTCTTTGCATTCTTTTCCTCATCATAATTAAAATTGATTTGTGCACTAATGATTAACAATGCCTGCTATAATATAAATGCGTATTGTCATTAATTAATGATACTGAATTACAGGTTATTCTGCTCATCGACGTTGTGATTCTGATACACGTCATAAACAAAAGAAAGCTAATACACTAAAAGATTTTCATCTCTTACCCTCATTTCTTCATCGTAACAACAATGGTATTTAAATAATTAATGTTGTTAGTAATTATTTTCATTTTTACTTATTTAAAAACACATTAACACACATGTTTATTGGTAATTTTGGAGAAATGTTTATTTCTACTATTATGTTGTGTTACCTTTTTACCCTTTTAGAAATTTTCATATTTATCAAAAGGGGAACTAATATCAGAAACTGTTGAGTAGTTTTCACTCTTATGAAGTGCATAAGTAAATCAATAATATGTGTAGTATGAATAGTTTAGTTCATTTGACGCATATACATATGCTTGAACAACGAAGAAATTTTACTAATAGTAATAGTGTGTTCACTATAAAACTTTGTCATTTTTAGTATCAAAAATTTGATTAGGACAAAGAAAAAATAACCCGAAATCTATCTGTTCAGGATATAGGATTCAGAAGTCTTTTCAACGTTGATAGTGAATATCTGCCTTATTTAGATTCATTTTATCAGATTGATATATAACGTAAAGAGACATTCTACAACTCAGCAAAATGAAGTTTCCAGAACGTTAAGTCATATAGATTTAATTAACAGAAATGGAGTCCAATAACCTTGTAGTTTGTTTTAATGATACATTATTTCTTTCGAGATGATTTTGACATATCTAAAATTGTCACTATGTAAAAAGTTTAGTTAATTCAGTGTAGAATCATCTTTTTGTTTAAAGTATTTAAAAGTCACTTGGGTTCCTATATTATCTAAAATCACTGTTAATTTATCTAGGAGACATTTCTGTAATCATATGAGTTCACCATATCCTTACTATCCATTAAGATGTTAACACTAACAACAAACTAATTTTATGTGATTGATAACTTTGTTAAATTTGAAATATTTTGTTTTTCTTAAATTAACATAATTTTATGGATAGCCACTTATTCTAATCAAATTTTAACGAAAGCTTTCTGTGTTGATTGATTTTAGATTTTGTTTTCTTTTTTATTCTCGTTATGTCGTTTTTCTTTTCTTTTCTCAAGTTATTTTAATATTTGTATTTATCAATGAATGATAGGGTACCAAATACTTTTTAATATATATTCATATTTCTCACTTCAAAATTTCTGTGTACATAGTCATTGTACAGTGAGTGCAATAAGGTTTTTTTAAAAGAAAAAACAAATTAAGTTGCATTGTATGATATTTACTACTCAACGTACTTTGATGAGAACAATTCATATATTCACAATTAAAATAATTAATCAAATGCTGTTGTTGATACATCCTATTACTGTACTGATTTCAGTATGAAGACTAAAAAACTTATCATCTATGTGAACGGTTTGTAATTTTAACTATTTCAGCTGTAATTAATTAAAGTGTCTTACTATTCATTTATATTGCAATTTCGAAGTACTCTACTTATATGCACTAAAGGGACATAACTGAATTGAATGATTAATGAATGTTTAGTCTCCCGTATAATACTGTCTTGATCTTAATTATCACGTTAATCAGCAACTCAAAAAAAGAGAATTTGAGAAGGAAGATAGACATAACACTAATCTTTTTCTCGTGTTTAAATCGATTTTTGATTATTATCTCATTGTTTTAAAACCACACATTTTCAACAAGAAGTCTAAGTGTGTCAACTCTGTTAAAACTAACAATTAATACTTTCATGAATCGACTGTGAATCATGCACTATGTCGCACTGGTATCAATTGTAGTGGAGTTTCATTTTATCCAGTTTACTGAATTAATGTAAACATTGAGTAGATATGTGTCATTATTTTTCTGTCAACGATTGGTTTTAAAGTAACAGATAAACTGGATAAATAATTAAACACTCTAGATCAGTTACTTCTAACTTACTGCTTTCACAAAGCAATCAAGCCTAACACTTAATGTGATTATTAGTTTTCCGTATTATCATTTCACAATTAAAACTAGTTATATTCTCTTGGTCACCTACGTACCTATCGTTTTGTTTGCATAAAAAAGCAATCGGATTACTTACATTCTATCACTTTTAACGTCTATCCAGTACACATACCACACTGTTGTTGTTATCGTCGTCTTCAGGTCAATAAAACAAACAAATATATCTGGCAAAATTGAGGCCAATGGCAAAAAGTATGGAATAAAAAACATACTGTTTCTATTATTTTCAAAAACCAATAAATGATCATATAGAATTTACCTCAATTATTATAAGCATTTCCTTTGTTCTGTTATTCTTTTGAGCGGTTAATATATTTCATTATGTTCTTTTACATGTAAGCAGTATTAAATATTTATTCTCTTCAGATTTTTTTTGACTGTAGGGCTACCTGAAGATTGTTTTGTTTATCTGAAACAAACGAAAAGAGAAACTTTCCGCTCTCATTCATCAAGAATTGTATCAGAAGATAGAGTGCTTCCACATAATAGTGTATAGTGTGTAGATTGTTATACAACTTCCGGGATCTTCTTTTCTTTGCTAATCTAACCAAACATTTTAAAGGTTGATCTATTTTCGCTACATATTTTTTCGTTATTTAGTTTGTGTTATTTCTTTATTATAATAATAATCATTAAATTGTTTGTATTTTTCCCCGTATGCATTCAGCTAACTCACTTGATAATCCACTTGACGCTGTTGCATCACTAGACGAGACAATTAATTCATCTTGTCAAGATAGTACTTATAGTTCTGGGTTGAATGAAACTGCTTCAATATCGGGCAGTGGGGGTGGTGACACATCTATCAACTTTCCTTCACCAGGATTATCTAAACGTGATTCCATTTCATCAATGTCAGTTGGATCCACATGTCAAACTCCTGTGGATTCTTATTTACAATCTGGTATTGGTCAAACAGACAAAATTAAATCGAATGGAGAGGAATTTGGGATTATGGGAAATGATTCGCGTAGGTTGAAAATCTACTAGTTTTTTCTCACTTTAAATGTAAAGTATGTAGAAGTAAATAGAATAAATTCCAATTATCTTACAGATTTATTATAGTAAGTATATTGATTCTTCTTTCCGTATGGTTTGTGTATTATGATCAATCGAAGCTCGTTTACTTGATATGACGTTTTATGTCTATCATGCCTCCTGTTTACCATTCAGATACAAATGCTTCCAGTAACTCCTAAACCATGTTGTTTTATCATTCCTTGAACATTTCAGATACTTCACATTTTTCTAATTTATTTGTGGTAAATAATACAAATTTATTTATTATTTAGTGATCTTAGTTTTCTGTTTTGATTCACTTTGATATTGTTTAAGATTGTTTGAAATAGATAATAATTGAACAGACGAATTAAGGATTTCTCTTCTTAAATATTTAACCAGTCTGTGCATTTAATTCCTCTGTTTCATTCGTTAATCACAACTTTCTATTCTTCCGTTTCAGTTGGCTACTACGTTTAACTTAATGATTTTCCACTCTTTTGCTTTTCACCTTGGTTGTCAACCTTTTTCTTTGTCAATAGTTATCAACTAAATAATTATATATTCCATTTGTTTTACCTTTTCTCCTCTCCCTCTCCGAGTTATGCGTCGATTAAAATTTGAGTGTAGTTCCTCGTAGAGTTGAATAACAAAATCCAGTTTTTTATACTAATATGATGTTTATGAATGGCGATCTGTGATTTTGGACTCGTTCTAATAATTCTTTAAATTTTCTTGATTGAGTTTGTGAGCTTGGTAAGGTATATAGTATATATATACCGTATACTTTCTCACTGTTTCTTTGTCTGACACTGATTTGTAATAAAAAGTATCTTCGATAAGATTTCGAGTAATCCATCTTTGGTAATTACCTTGTTTCTTTATTACATTTTTAGTGTGTAAAAGTTTTATGTTATAAAACAAATTTTTAAGGGGGGATATGACAGTAGTTCAAAAAAACAAAATCATAACGAATAATAATTTGTTCATACATTTTTTTACTAATGATTATTCAGTCTGAACGATAAAGTCAGTTTTTAAAATAAATGGTAATAATTCGCAATTTGAAAAATAACCCTAACAGTTTCTTCTCATGAAATATTACTTCTTGTAGTACCTAATCAGTTTATTTATTTGAACACACAAATATTGGTACAAAGGGGCACTGAATACATATGCGTCACACAAGTCACTTGATTTGTGTGTGGGCTGTGATACTGCCTTCAACCTGAATGTCTGATCCACAAGGCAGTGGAGCAACGTCAAGAGATGCACTCCCATGGTAAACGGTGACCAATAATTGATACATACGCCATTTATTCCCTCAGTATTCTGGAGCTCATGTGCACCATTGGTTTGGAATCAGGGTTTTTAAATTCCTTCTGATGGATCCGCCATATCCACCAACCCGGTTAAAGCTCCGGACATTCGCTTTTCGTCCTCTCAATTTCGTAAACCACACTGTTGCAGAAAGGCCATGAGTAAGACTTTTCAAGCAGTTTCTGTATACGCGTGTCCATGTGAGAGCATTTCGAGAGGGAGAGCTAACTCTCCCCACCCTTGGCCGTACCACGGCTTTAGTGGGCCCAATCAATAGATAACATTTGAATGTTGTCAATAAATACTACATCCAGTCAGTTAAGTACATGACAAACAGTATAATGCGTAGTTGTGTATACTTATCATCCATCTCTGTAATTATTAGCGTTTTATAGGTGAATGAATACTGAATTGATGCTGATATAATTAAACTAACCCATTATCGCATCGAATTTCGCGAAGAAAATTTTCTTTTTGATAAAATCATTTACTTAAGCTGTACATTCATATTTATAATTGTGTGGTAAATATATGTTTGTAGAAGGATAGATAAGATTGTATCATAAAGCGATTCGAGGCTCCAAATATCAAATGAGGGTACGTTATAATCAGAGGTTTAAAGAAGAATAGAAGGATGAAAATAATTTACGAGTCAAAATTATGAAGGATTATTGTCGGTTTGATAGATATTAAGAAAAAAACTAGAAACATAAAAGCTGAATAATAATCATGAAAAATTGTTTAAGTGTAATAATAACTGATTACAGTTTAAAATTACGAAACGCTAATTTAAGGAAAAACAAGACGAAAACACATTACAGAAAGGAATTAGGATGGGAGGTTGGACGTACCATTTTTGCACACAGAGTTCGGGCTTAAATTGGTAGATCGTCAACGCAGCGCATAAGTTTTTGATTCGACCTCCATTCGATCCAGTTCCTTTGACTGTGCAGACTATATTAAAGTAAGATCCCTTCAAAGTGACGTATCCCGTTATGAACTGGTAACTGTTTGCATTCTCCTTTTAAAATCTTATTATAAACATATATTTACCATACAACTATAAATACGAATGTACAACTTGAGTAAATGATTTCGTCGGAAAGAAAACCTTCACTGAATTCTCTTTATTTTAATTCAGAAATGATCATGTCTATACTTAACATTGAAATGATATCCTTTCAATGATATACTTCCAATACACAACCTCAATATATATATATATATATATATATATATATATATATATATATATATATATACATTTATTCTATAAGATGTGATAAAGTCAATTAATTTTTTATTTATACTTTTTTTTACTTTTCAACCTGCACATGGACATACCTTCATTTAAACGTGTTTATACATATTTACTTTCTGTATCTATCTATAAATATATCGTTTCTATGGTATTCATGAACTGGTTTTCATACACGCTCACATTATTATTGGCTAATTTTTTCTCTACTATCTGCTGCGTTTGTGGTGTTATATTCTTTATTATGAAATGATTATGACGTAAATACGGCTTTATAATCATTCATATTTATGGAATTGCTGATGATATTTTTGGTGTTCACGCGAACACACATCAATCTGTGCATATTTACGTAAACTGTTTGTTTTTTGCATTTAACGTTGGCTATTTTGATCATAATTGTTCATTATCTTCTATTTTCATCATTTATATTTTTTATTCGGTGTACTTCATGCCATATTCCTGTTTACTTTCATAAATCTAACATTTGTGTGCTCAATTTCTCTCTCTTCGTGTGTTTAACGGCTGTTGTGATATTTTCTAATATTTTTTAAATAATAAACATTGCACTTAATCATTCTACTGTGTTATTTTTATCTGAAGATATTAAAGTTCCATTGGATTCGAGATCATTATCACGTCGTCGCTTAAGTATAACAGTTAAACAAGGTTAATTATTTTTTAAGTTTATCTATCCTCTTTTTTCTCAAACAATCAGTGTTTGAAATTAGAACCAATCAACTTATTATGAGTTCTAAAATTTTGATGTGTTATCGTAAAAAAGTAAATTATTAATTGGCCATTACTTTGATGACTGTCCTAATTGAATTCTTCCTTCTGTTTGCGTTTCTTCAGTGTTCACTTCACTGATTGTTATTTTGCTTGTTTATAATGTGACTTTGATTCAGTCTACATCAACTTCTTCAAATGTTAATCTTCATTTCTTCATATTTGTTAGCTAGAGATAAGGAATGCTAAACATTATTCGAGCTGTTTATTTTAATGAATCGGATTGCATAATACTCAGTGATACAGGTTTTCGATTATCACTGTACACTGAATTAATACACCAGTTATAATTAGACAAGTTGCCGATAGTTGATCAAACGTTATACAAGGAACATATCTCCATAGTACAGGTGTTGATCATTTGAATTTTTACAAGTTATCATGTATTTGTAGCCATCAACGTCAACGTTGAACTTGATAGTTTCAAATAAATTAAGCATTATGTAGGAAGCTAATAATAAATAGATCTTTTCCGTGGTCTTATTTCCTTTATACGATTTAAACATGCGTTAATTTAATTCGGCTACTTATTTACTCTGAAGAAGTGGTTTACATTGAGTCGTGAAATGTCAGAAAAATACAATTATTCTGCGCATTGGGTTATAACAACAAAACATATATCCATCATCATCATATATTTTTCTATTTGCTTATTATCTCTTTTCTTATTTACTTTAATTTATATACCTACGGTTGAAATATGTTGTGAGAATAGCGAAATAACTTTATTAAAAGTAGAAAAACTCGTGAATCTATGCTCATTTTGAGAGATATATTTACAAGAGGAACTATTTAATATTTGAATTATGGTCCATTATTTTTATTAAGAATATTTTATACTTTCCACATTATCCATTATCATACTTCATAATTACAATTAATTTCATTATCTGTAATTGGCAAAATATTATTGATAAGATTAGAATTGAAATCAACCATTTTGAAAAATTACTTTAAAAAAAATGTGTCTGAAATACCATGTTAATTGAATTCTAGTATAAGATAAAAAAGAATTTGTTTATTAATACACTGTATAAATTTGCTTTATGTCTTACAATGACAATCGTTGCTGAAACAATGATCTTGGTCAATGTGTGGTTGTTTCGTGTGCAAAAGAAAGACACAATTTCACACATACGCACTGACACTTTTCCGACTGACAATACGTACAACGATGATGACAGCAACAGTAAAAACAAGTACAACATTGTAAACAAGTCGGCTATTTTGTGAAAGTTTACCAATGATATATATTTTTATTTTCAAATTAACTAGCTAACACTGTGTGTATGTTGTGTGTTAATAATGGTTATTTGAGTTGCCTGTAATTTTACTCATTTACTTTATGCTAAGTCCATGCAAGAATTACTATGTAATAGTAATTGTATTAGGTTAAATCTCCAATTATCGAATTCAGATACATCTAGTCCGCAGTCGGAGGAAACGCATGTTACACGGATTCCAATGTTAGCCATCATCCAACTTTGCTTAAAATACTGTCGTGATTATGTTTCCATCAAGTGTTTTATGAACATCAATTATACGAATGTCTATAATCCTGTTAATAGTTTCGGCGTGCAGTTGCACACAGAATACGTTGAACTTAATTTTAATCATACGACTTTGTTCGTTCGTTTGTTTAATATTATAGAAAACTTATTTTCATTTCAACTAAAGACTTTTCCAGTAATAATTATATTTGTAATATCGATATACTTCCAGTAGACACATTGTATCTGAAAGTTGAAGACATCAAGATGTACTTGGTAAACGAGTAGTTACATAACATCTAAATTCTCATATAAAACTACTATCCCTTAATAAAAGAATTTCTGTTACTCTCCCTATGTTTAGACTTGAATAATCAGACAGTTAAAACTGTTGTTATTTGTCTATTCATCTTTCATAATTTCTATTCATTGCCAAATTGTCTTCGTCTCTAGATGTTCATTGTGATTGACCTTTGAAACAGGTCTTAGCAAATGATAGAAGTAAATCCAGTTGATTTCATGACAAATATTGTGTCAATTGATACTTCTTATAGATTAATACAACGTAACTGATAAAGTATTAATCTTTCCTTCATAAATGAATATTATTTTTTAACTGTTATTGTACCTGCATCCCAGAGTTGATGTTCACTCCGGGACTGGGACCTGAATTTCACTGCTAGCCATCGTCACCTCCACCTATCATACTAGTGACTTGAGACAATCCGCACAGGATGCACATTTATCAATAAGTGGCTGATCGATTGCAGTCCTAAACATCAATAGGAAGATTCAAACAACCAATTTAAAAATGGGATAATCTCAATGTAATTATTTTCATAAGGTTAAACTACTTGTTAGTAATTATTAAGTTAATTTTTGGAGGACACAGTAAGGTGATGGGTGTACATATTTTTTATTTGCTGAAGTAAAATTGCGCATTTTAACAATATATCAATGCGTAATTCCTCAGTGTCATTATTAATTGAACCATTTATATATTAGGTGACTTCTTTTAATTATCTATTAACCTAACTTTGAAATAGGTTTTTCATTTGATCAATCTTCAGTACTAGTTTGTTTGGAAACTTCTTTTTGCAACGGACAACTTCATCAAACATTGGGACGGAAAATTTTTCAAAGATTTTCTCTTCAGCTCTAGTTTATACATTTTCAGTTTATCATTGATATGATTTTGATTGTCCATACTAATTGCCTTTGTTTAGTATTTTACAATATAATAAATATGTTTTATCGGTATATATTTATATTATATACGTCAATATCAATTTTTGCATTTCACATTCCATTCATATACATGTATGGATGACTCACAAAATTGTCTTTTATTTATTTGATTATCATACATTCCTTTATTGTCTGATTTGTTTCATCCTTTGGTTTTATGTTCATCTATTCGATATTTATCTCATCTTTTCTTTTTTAAACAAATGAAGGTTATGTAAAACAAATGAAAAATCTATACGAAGGAAGTGAAATCATTCAAGAAACAATTCCGACGTCTCGAAGGTGTGCTTTTACAAATTTATAGATCAATAATAGTTTTCTCTTATTCATTCTATCATTTAATTACATGTGATTAATGTGTTTATTTTTTTAGAAAGGTATGATTTTGATTGTTTCATTCTTTAACTCTCAATTAGTGAATCAAAATCTGAAATCCACTTGACTCTGTTGTGTTTAATTATGGATGGGTAAAATTATGAATTCCTAACCAACAAGTAGGCTCACCATATCGATATTTAAGTATACTGCTTTGATCTACGTTTCATACGTGTGTGCTATAGACAGAGAGAGTTATTCATACAAGTTGGTTGCCCTAATCAGAGTTCAACAGGTATCAAGAGTACAATCCTCTGGTTTAAAGTTGAGTAGTCCAACTTTTATGCAACCTCTCAACTAACAGTTTCATTATAATAAATCTATCTTATGAGCGGAAAATGATACTTCGACGTTTTTGTTTCCCAAGATCAATACAGATGTGAAGGAAATTATCTTCAATCTTAAATACCATAATACCTAGCGTTACAAATCGGTAAGCTGCCAATTATGTATAATCCTGGGGTCAATTTTGACCTATAATGAATCAATTCAGTAAAATAACCTGTATATTGACAAAGTTCTGTAAACAGTACTAATTGTTGTTAGTGATTATGACTACTATATTACTGAAGTCTTTGTCCTAATTAATACTTACCTAAATAATTTAGCCATTAAAATCTTTATATTGTTGACTTGAAGTTACTTATTTTATTGTTTCATTTTAATGTAAATGTTGTTTCACTATAAAAATACTTATCTTACTATTGATACAGACATTCTCTTTGAAAAAAATGGTATACAATAAGGCACAAGCCTACATCTAATGTTTTTTTTTGTGCCTAGGAATATTGAAAAGACTTATTTACAGCTGTATTTTACAGATTACATATCTTCTATGTTTACTATTGTTGGTATTTTGTTTTAAGAATACTAGAGCCGTAATACACCTGGTCAGTAGTTCACTTTTAAAAACCGATGACGTTAGTACTGGTGGATGCTTTTTTAATCATTTCACGTTGTTCGTATTTTGAAGACTTTGTTTTATCCTCAATAAGTTATCAACTTGTTTCAAATCCTCGATTTTGTTTTATTTTTTAGTGATAGTGTCGTTTCGAATATTTCCTCAAATCTACCTACACCAAGTAGCTCAACAGGTCCTTGTGATCGTCCAATCGAAACAACATTATCACCATCTTCATCATCCTTAAGTAGTCCTGTATCAAATATCAATGAGACTGTACGTGAATTAGTTACTACAGATTGGAGCGATGATCCAGAAATGATTGCAGGAGCAAGTTTTGAAGCAGCAGTTGAACTACGAGCTCAGTTTCCTAATTTTCAAATGCCTAGTAAAGTATGTATAAACACTTTTTCAATGTTCAATGTCTTGACTCTAATTCAGTATTCTCTGTACGAGTTGAAATTAAGTGCAGGAATATTTTAAATTTACATTTCTATAATTTTTTTATTTATAAATAAGCTAAGCTGTTTCAATTGTCCTTCGTTTTCTTAACCGATAGGGAACAGTAGTTCAGTTCTGCTTCACCTACTTGATCTTTGACAGCTGCATAGTAGCACAATCCCTCACACATATGATCTGATTCAGCCGAGTGCATTAATCTGTACTTGGTGTGTTAGACCGTCATCATTTACCTTATATATTTTACAAATATGAAGAAATAACTGAAGATGGTTCAGTTAGAATATATTTCCCACAACGTTGTGGACTGTATTTAGAGTCAGAAAGCGACCAAAAGGGTACTAATTACATGAATAGGGATCTTACTTGACTTGGTAGATCAAACAACTAACACATTAATAAGAACTTCATGTGATTATGATAAGAGAGGATATTGGCTTTTGCAAGTTCCTTACATTTCAAGAATATACCATGAAGTGATTAATAATCATTGTGTATATGATAGACGTCAATTATACTTCGTTTTCCATACTGATTGTATGGCGTAAGTCACGATTTTATTCATAATAAAAGATTTTGAAACAAACTGAACATTCAACAAGTTTTTGTTCTGAAGAAAGAACCTATTTGAGAATAGTTTCAATATCAAAATCAAATATTGATCTCTTGGTTTTATAGAAGTTAAGTCAATGTGTAGGTATTATTTAGTGATATACTATGTACGGCAAGATAACATTTTTTCAATTCAACATATTATATTAGCAGTACCACTAGACGGAAGCAATTAACCATATTATAAATATTATCATTTGTCTCCTATACATCATTTCTCTCAAAATTATTTTATTTATGCCTTTTTGTTTTTATTTTTGGTCCATAATACGTACGTATGTCTAGTCTAGTCGCACTTTTTAACATGATTTGTTATCAGTTCGTCACCATTTATAAATTATCTAAATAAATGAAACTCACAAAATGTCACATAAATTTAGTGTATTTAGTATTTCTAGATGAAGTAGTAGAATTATGCAACAAATTTAAAATGTTTGTGACATTTCCATTTTTTCTATACACTAACCATCATCTTTACTTGTTATCATAAGCTTAGATTGTGTAACGCAGTTATATATAGATAAGAACAACTGTTTCAATTAGTTATATATGAATATTTATCACTTATGATAGGTTGGTAAGAGGAAAGAAGAGACTGTTCGCGTATTTTTTTCATATTCTTTTTTATTTCTTTTAATATAATCGTTTCTTTTTAACAAAAAGGGTCAAAAAAGTGAAGAGTATATTCGTACACTAGTTCTGTTGGAATTTCATCAAAAAACTCAATATATGGTTCGTCATTTGAAACAATACGAGTATTTATTATTACGTCGTTGGCCTGTGGAACATGCAAAATTGGCTAAAATTTTATGCCTTGATCAAATTCCTATATTAATTGATCTTTTTCGTAGTCTCGTTACTTGTATTGATCATACGAAAACCGAACAAGGTTATCATGGTATGGCTGAAGCAGTTCTAGCCTGGTTAACTGATAATTCATCGGCTAATTTAAAAGTAAATAAAAATTATTACTGTAATTATTTATTATAAGACAATCATTGAAATACTTATTTACAATATGTACCAGTGGTCTGTACGTTGTTTGAATATACTTGATAGTTTATACAACTGTTCACTCATTTCCACCTTTTTTCTTTGAGCAGAAATAAAATAAAATAACTATAGAACATTTAGCAATTTTTGCACACATTTTTTCCGATCACTGTAGATCCCAGGCTTGATCCCTCTCTCTCTCTCCATATATGTTTATATATTACTCTGCTACACAGATTATCTCTCTAAACTAGTTTAGTTAGTTCAAAGTGAATGTGACATTTCGGCAAAAAAGCGTGATTTTGAAATCTGAGTACTGTAAGTGAAGAATAAATTAATTTCGTATCGATAATATTTACTGAATCCCCTATTCAGTGATGTCTTAGTGTCGATCGGGGTCGGGCAAAAAAAGTCCCCGTTCTACTAAACGTTTTCCTCCAACATATATTACATCGAAATGCAACGTCGTCCTAATAGCCTACACATTGTCCCGTAGTCATTTGAAGACCACAATCGCTATTAAAGGAACTTCTCGGTAATTTAATCTGTTATAGTTTCTTAACTGTAACGTTTTCCTTGAAATCCACTGTAAACCGATAGTAAGTGAGCATTGGACATTGAAATGGGCACCGTGACTTTAGAATCATTCACTCGCTTCTGATTGGCTCGTCCATAAATTATAGTTTCGTCAAACAAGTAATTAAAACCAAGATGCACTGGACCGTTGTATCGTCCCGTCATGAGACTACTCAACAGTGCCCATTTATGATCCCATCAAGAATCTAACAATCTTCACAAACCTTTTATGATGATAATTAGCATGTGCTCACAAACAGCTTAATTTGGAAAAGTAATTCTTGAAGTTATAGTGAGTTGTGACTTGCGTATGACAGTTACCCACTGATGGCATTGAAAGACAATTTCTCATTACTGCTAATTGATTGAAGTTAAACATATGAATCAATAGGTTCCGGCTGTTTACAGATTAAGGACTCACCACGTGAACGAGGGTCCTAGATTTAATCTCCAGTAGAATCGTGCATGTACACTGTTGAGAAGTCTTTTACTAGGATGAAACTGTTGTCCAGTGCTTCATGGTCTTCATCGGTTGTCTAGCTAAGATCAGTGCATGATGTCAATCATAAATGGCTCGAATTTCTTCAGAATCCATTACCGCTAATTACCTTTCTTAAAACAATATTCAATAGTAATTTTCAAAATCGTTACAAATAATTTATAGATTCAAGAGGCCCCCAAATGCCCTGGTATGGCCGAGAGTGGGGTGGGTTCGCCCTCACTCTCGAAATACTCTCACATGGCCACGCGTACATAACTTCTGCCAGGGAAGTCTTACTCACTGCCTTCTCGTGGCGAGGGTGTTGTTTACGAAAATGAGAGGACGAAAAGCGAATGTCCGGCGCTTTAACCGGATCTCAAATCAATGGTGCACATGGGCTCCAGTATCCTGAAGGAACAAATGGCGTATGAACCGATTTCTTGGTCACCGGCTTCTATGGGACTGCATCTCCTCACGATGCTCCACTACCTTGTGGGTTAGACCTTTAGGTCGAAGGCTCGGGGTGTGGCCTCCTAAGAAAACCACCTGCTTCGGTCTGGGCACCCGGGCAGTATCACAGCCCACACACAAATATAATGAAAATGATGATCTCTGAAAACTCTGTTCACGCTGCGATTTATCGTCAAACAATTAACATTATTATTATTATTATTATTATTATTATTATTATTATTATTATTTACCACGTCATTCATTCACTCTCTTTTATTTCCACTCTATCTATCCTTATTTTTCGACTTATACAGCAGCTCGCCTATGGTGGACATTCGGCTCTATCTAAACGTTCTCGAGTCACTGCCTGGTTTAAAATTGTATGTTACCACCGAATACGAGTACTGTAGCAGTTTTTCTGAAACCACATGCACCATTGAAACTGGCTACCCTCAACGTCCGCACACTTATGCAGGTCGGACAACAGATAGGGCTGGCTATGTCTTTGGAAAGTCTTAATATCGACGTTTGTTGTCTATCCGACACTCGTATTCAAGACTCTGATGAAGTACTACAAGTTTGCTCTCCATCTGTCACTTCAAAAAGCTTGTTTTACGTGCGTTTATCCAGGTACCCTGTGGCATCTTCGTCTGGTCTTTCTGGCGTTGGTGTCGCGCTAAGCGCTAGAGCTGAGGCAGCACTAATCGACTGGATCCCCATTAACAGTCGGTTATGTGCTGTTAGATTAGAAAGTTCCATCAAAGTGAAAAGAAATCGGCGTGAGAAACGATGTCTTTTCGTCACCTCCGCCTACGCCCCGACAGATTGCAGCCCGGATGCAATCAAGGATGAGTTCTACCACCAGTTAACTTTTCGTCATCCCACCGAAAAGTATAAATGAGCATTGGTTGCAATTGCATGACGCCATGAAAATGGCGGGTCAAGTCTGTTGTGGGTTCGCGAAACGTCCCGCTTACAAGCACTGGGTTTCTTCTGGTTCCTTACAACTGATTGAAGCCCGTCGGTCTACTCCGGGTGACCGTGAGTTTGACCACAGACGAAGGATGTTACGTAATGAAATCGGGTAAGGCTTGCGTAAGGACCATGAAGCCTGGTGGTCGGAGCGTGCTAATGAGCTGGAAGCAGCAGCTGTATCTGGTAATTATCGGAAGCTTTTCCAACTCATCCGAGCCACTGGCAGCAAGAAGTCTGGTGTGAGCGAAACAATCTGCGAGGATGACGGAACGCCAATCACTAACATCCATCGACGTCTTGGACGATGGGCAGAATTCTTTGAAGGGCAGTTCAACTGGCCTGCTGCTCCGGCAAAGGTCTGGGAACTAGAGAGTGTACCAACGTCATGGAATGAGTCGATAGTTGTCCCTATCTTTAAAAAGGGTTCACGTCGTTCCTGTAACAACTATCGGAGGATCAGTCTACTTCCGATCGCGTACAAGCTACTGGCTTCCGTCATACTTCGTAGGTTGTTCAAAACCCGAGAAAGATCGACTCGCGAGGAGCAGGCTGGGTTTCGTTCTGGTCGAGGATGTATTGATCATATCTTCACCCTCCGCCAAATGTTAGAACACCGCCATACTTATCAAAGGCCAACAATCGTAGTGTTTCTTGACATTAGGGCTGCCTTCGATTCGTTGGCCAGAACAGTTCTCTGGGATTGTCTATTGAAGAAGGGTGTGCCTGAGAAGTTTATTAACATCCTAAATACCCTATACACAAACACCTCAGGCAGAGTAAGGGCATACAACCACCTTTTTCCATTATTCCATTCGAGCAGTGGGGTTAGGCAGGGTTGCCCAATCTCACCATTCCTCTTCAACTTTGCCATCGATGACATTCTGGATCTGTTGCCTGGAGAAAAACTTGTCGACCTTGAGTATGCGGATGATATTGTCTTACTGTGCGAGAATGCCCAAGCTATGCAATCCGCACTTGATCAGTTGGCAATCAATGTCCGTAGGTATGGTATGTGCTTTGCACCCTCGAAGTGTAAAGTACTTCTACAAGATTGGCAGGATTCTAATCCTGTACTCACTCTGGATGGTGAGCAGATAGAAATAGTCGATAAGTTCGTGCATCTAGGTAGCTGCATAACTGCTGGTGGTGGTGTGAGTGATGAGATCAATGCACGTATAGTGAAAGCCAGAGCGGCTTATGCCAATCTGGGCCATCTTTGGCGCCTTCGTGATGTTAGTCTGGCTGTAAAAGATCGGATCTACAACGCGTCGGTGAGAGCAGTTCTACTCTATGCTTGTGAAACCTGGCCTCTCCAAGTTGAGGATGTTAGACATCTCTCTGTGTCCGATCATCGCTGTCTCCGAAGGATTGCTAACATCCAGTGGAAACACCATGTTAGTAATGCAGAGGTTCGGCATCGTGTATTCGGGCACAGAGACGATAATTAAATTGGTGTCACCATCTTGAAACACCGACTTCGGTGGCTTGGACATGTTCTACGAATGTCGTCCCAGAGAATTCCTCGTCGTGCATTATTTGCCGACCCTGGGACTGGTTGGAAAAAGCGAAGAGGTGGTCAGTGTATGACACGGTGTCGCAGTATGAAAGAAAGCTGCAAAGGGCTGGCTTCTGTTGGTCCTTCACGACTCCCTGGATGGGGTCCGAGAGATGGTGTAACACAGTGGCTAGAAACGTTATCGGATATGGCTCAGAATAGAAGACAGTGGCGATCCTGTTGTGACGTTCTTTTACTTTCTTCATAAAAAGTGGCTGTATCCTCCTTAAATGTAAGATTTCTTCTGAGTGTACCTTTTCGTCTCCCCCCATTATTGTTCTTTTTTTTATTTTATAATCCCCTACGTTCCTTACTTTTTTTCCCTTCTTAAATTCTCATTGTTTTGTGTGGCGCATATATATTTGGTGCCCCCTTGTACCAATATTTATGTGTTCAAACAAAACAAACAACAAACATAGATTCAAGAGAATTCACCACAGCATTTGATATTTTATACTCGGAATTCCCTACCGTTTCAAAAGTTATAGTACTGAATAACGTGATTATTATTATTATTATTATTATTATTATTATTATTATTAATGTTATTGTTTGTAATGTACAATTTTTCATACTTTTTATCTTCACAGACATGGGCTCGTCATTGTCAAGCTCTTTCATGTTCAAATATGTTAGAAAGTGTTCGACATTCTGTTCGTGATTATGTGCGGCGACATCCAGATATTGTGCCTTTATTACAAACTAGGCATAATAAATTTGTCTTAATTGAAGGTTTAAAACAGATGCGAATTCTTTACTTTAATTTACCATTAATTGCAAATAATATTGCAAAAGATTTGGAAAAAAGAACTAAAATATACAAAGGTAATTGATATTATTTTTTACTATTAGATTTTTTGTTGTTGTTATGTCTGTGCTAGTTTCATGTGGTTAAATGAATTAAATGTTGATGATAAAGTTGTCCTTACATTTGCTATCTGGTAAATTACGGTATCTTTACATTATGACGATTGTAACGACATTATCTATCTTGCTAGTATGTGTTTATAGTTTTGCTGTTTTCGATATAAATCACTGTATTTGGCTTTGTCCCGACCTTTGTTGCTATTTTGACGTGGTGGTCGGGCTTGCCTATCGTGATGAAGCAACTGAGCTACACTGGCTAGAACAACCGTTCCTCAAGGTCCTACCATGCCAGACAGGTCGGTTGAAGAGCGGTAAGACTAAAAGCAACAAATCCAAAGTCCGAAGGCGAAGCCGTGCTGCTGACCGTACAGAGGTGTGACAGCAGTAAGGTGTTTCCTTCAGACAACCAGCATGACAGCGATGCTGCCTTCCCAAAAGGAGGGGAGGGGTTAGAAAAGGTCGACCCTAAAAATGCACACCTCGCCTTATCCCATGGATATCCGTCTCCGGCGGTAAGGTCTCAACAAGTACGGAGCTAACACAAAAATCACTCATAAAAAGGTCATGTGTGACCGACCTCAAACAGCTGTCCCTTGGGCACTGCGGTCACGCTCTCAGGTCACTATGACCACCTCTAATCCAATTTCCTTTTCAGGTACCTCCAGAAGAACCCTTCCACGGTGTGGGCAACCGGGAATTGATAACCGCCCTCATACCTCTAACAGCACTCAAGGCCACTGTATTCATAATCAACCTACCACTTCAATTCCTATTATTCCTCTTACATCGACTTTCAAATCTAAACTCCCTCTTTCGGCTTCCTCCTCAAGTGTCACCACAGCCAACGATTCTAGTGCGCAAAACACTGTCCCAGGTTTACTGAAACCCCGCTCCAAACTACACATTGGAGCCTTCAACGTACGCACACTATGCCGAATCGGTCAGCAGGCTTCCTTGGCTAAAACTTTAGAATCTCGTACCATTGATGTATGCTGTGTCTCCAAAACACGCATACAGGATCCTAGTGTGGTCATTCACTTGACCTCACCTCAGCAAAACGGAGTGCCTACGAGATACACCCTCAGTGTATCTGGCGACCCGATGGCTAGTTCTCGTGGACTTGCAGGTGTAGGCATAGCACTAAGCATGAGGGCGGAACAAGCGCTATTAGAGTGGATCCCCGTTAATAGTCGTCTATGCGCTGTTCGGCTAAACGGCTCCGTAAGAACTCGAAAGGATAGGGACACACGTCGTTGCCTTTTCGTCGTTTCTGCCTACGCTCCCACTGACTGCAGTTCGGATGAAGTGAAAGATGAATTTTACAGAAAGCTGTCTGAACTTCTTCAGAAAGCTAAACGTTCAGACATAGTACTCGTAGCAGGCGACTTTAAAGTCCAGGTAGGTAGCTTAAACGAAACAGAAAGACATTTAGGTGGGTATTTTAGTATTCCGGCACAGAGAACAGATAATGGTGAGCGTCTGCTGCAACTTTGCTCAGACAATCGTTTATTTTTAGCAAACACAAATTTTAAGCATAAGGAGAGACATCGTCTAACATGGCGACCCCCTGCACCAAAACCAACGATGGATTCAAATAGACCATATTGCCATCAGTCATCGTTGGAGAGGGTCGATAGAAGATTGTCGCTCATTCTGGGGTACCTGCCTTGACTCCGACCATGCCCTAATACGAGCACGCATCTGCTTGCGCCTCATCGGACGCAAAAAAGCCATACAAAAAAGACTCATTAGAACCGAATTGAGTAATGAGAAAACCAAAAGTAGGTTCCAGGAACAACTGAGGTCACACATAGGTAGTTCTGAAAACGAGGCTGACCCCGATGTTGATTGGAAAGATATACAAGCAGCTGTGGAAACAGCAGTGACATCAATTAGCAATTTAATCGCATGGTTACAAAGAACCAATGGATTTCTTCAAGGTCTATTGCACTGATGGACTCTCGTAAACTCATCCCATCAGGATCTGAACACGATGAAGAGCGTAAACAAATCAGATCTAGGTTAAGCAAAAGTCTAAGGAACGACCGTAAGCAGTGGTGGGCAACGAAAGCAAAAGAGATGGGAAAGACGGTGGCTATAGGGAACACAAGACAACTCTACAGACTAATAAAAGAAACTGGAATTAATAAATCAAGTGTAAGTCAGACCATTTCGGAAAGAAATGACACTCTCATCTGCTCCCAGTCCAGACGCTTAGAACGATGGGCGGAACACTTTAAGGAGCATTTTAGCTGGCCTTCAGCTACTCTACAACTACCCTCCATTCCCAGGCAGTGTGAATGGAACATTGAAGTAGGTCCACCAACTCTAGCTGAAGTTCAAAAGGCTATAGTTAATCTGAAACGAGGAAGGGCAGCTGGTCCAGAAGGATTGGCCCCAGAGGTCTTTAAGGATGGTGGTTCAATTTTAGCGATTAGGTTGACTAATATTTTAGCTAAAATCTGGGAGTTAGACGTTATCCCATCTAACTGGTCACAATCACTTATCGTCCCAATATATAAGAAAGGGTCAAAATCATCCTGTGACAACCATAGAGGGATTAGTTTAACTAATATAGTATCTAAAATACTAGCCTGGATAATTTTCGGACGCCTAACTAAGACTCGTGAGCTGCAAACACGTGAAAATCAGGCTGGCTTCAGACCTGGTCGTGGCTGCATCGACCACATATTCACCATTCGTCAGGTTCTAGAACACAGGCATACTTATCGGCGTCCGACAATGGTGGTCTTCCTTGACTTAAAAGCAGCGTTTGACTCTGTTGACCGAGAGGTTCTGTGGCAGTGTCTGTCATTGAAAGGCGTACCTCAGAAGTACATAAACATTGTGAAAGCTCTTTACTCGAACACTACTAGTTGGGTCAGAGCTTATGGCGAACTGTCATCTGCTTTCGCAACCTCAAGTGGCGTCCGCCAAGGCTGTCCACTTTCTCCATTTTTGTTCAACTTCATCATAGATCTACTGATGGAAATAACGCTCTCATCGACTGGATTCTCGGGTATTGATCTCCTACTAGGAGGTCCACTTATTGACTTAGAATACGCAGATGACATAGTCCTGTTTGGTGAAGACGCTGATGAAATGCAGAGTCTTTTGGTAGCACTGAGCAACAATGCCAGAATGTTTGGGATGCGCTTCTCTCCCTCCAAATGCAAGTTGTTGCTTCAGGACTGGACTGCGTCAACACCTGAACTAAGGATAGGGAGTGAAGTAGTCGAACGCGTCGACAACTTCACTTATCTTGGAAGTCTGATCAGCCCTCATGGGTTGGTGTGTGACGAAATCTCAGCACGAATTCGAACAGCTCGTTTGGCTTTCGCCAACTTATGTCACCTATGGCGAAGGCGAGATATCTGTCTATCAATTAAGGGACGAGTATACTGCGTGGCTTTTCTTTCCGTTCTACTATACAGCTGTGAAACATGGCCATTAAGAGTAGAAGATACTCGTAAGTTACTAGTATTTGACCACAGGTGCCTTAGAAATATTGCGGGTATCTGCTGGGATCACCAGGTAAGTAATAATGAGGTTAAACGCAGGCTATTAGGGAATGATGGTAAATCAGTTGATGAGGTTATGAACCTTCATCGACTGAGATGGTTGGGCCACGTGCTGCGTATGCCTGAACACCGATTACCACGACGCGCAATGGTAACCGGTGTTAGGGATGATTGGAAGAAAGTTAGGGGCAGCCAAATCAAAACGTGGCATCAGTGCTTGAAGTCACTAACTTCTGGTCTGAGCCATGTTGGTAGATGCAGACTACGTGGTTGGGGTCCGCGTGACTATCGTAACCAATGGTTGGAGATTCTTGGTGACATGGCCCAGAATCGATCACAATGGCGTCGGTGCATACACTCTCTGTCTTCCCTTAAACTAAGAGATTAAAATCGCTTCATGTTTTTTTTTCTACGAACTAATTCTATCTTCCTGTACTATCTCTTTATATGCAATCTTTCTTTTATATAGTAACACCTTTGATGTGACTACTTCTATGAATCCGTTGTTCATCATGTTGTGCTAATGAGGTTTGGCAACTTGGGCCGATGCATATACGTGCCTGGTCCTACGTTGCAGCTGACTGACTGACTGATTTGGCTTTGTGAAATATTCGCTAAACAGATCTCAGCATTTATTTTTTATTTTAATACATAAGCATTGGTATGATGAGGCAGTAAATATATATGCGCTACAATTCATCATTCGATTTGTGTGAGGGGTGGAATGTTGCCCGAGCACTTAAATCGGAGCAAGGAGTTTTTAGGGGGTTAATCATCTAGCCTTTGATCTAGAGGTCTAATCCAGAGGGTATTGGAGCAACGTTAGGAGAAGTAGTCCCACGGTAGCCTGTGATCAACACTGGGTTCATACGCCATTTGTTCCCTCAGTATTCATTGATTTGGAATCAGGGTTTTCCAACTCCCTTAGATGGATCCTCCATATCCACCAACCCTGTTAAAGCGCCGGACATTCTCTTTTCGTCCTCTGAATTTCGTAAATAGCACCCTCACCACGAGAAGGCAGTGATTAGGACTTCCCTGACAGTTGTTGTATATGGATGACCATGTGAGAGCATTTCGAGTTGGAGCTCTGACTCTTGCCACCTTTTACAGTACCAGGACATTTGGAGTTCATCATTTATAACATTGTAGTAAAGTAACTCAATTACCAAGCACAAATCTCATGTATTCAGCTTTAATTTGCACTGTTATTGTGGTGGCTAGTGATAATCCGTGTACTATACAGTCTATAGCAAATTAAGCGTGGTTCAACCCTCTAACCTACTGATTGAAAGACAATTGCTTCAACCAGTAATTGACTTCACAATAGTTGCTTCAGCCGATATTACGCAACATATAAAATTAATTACCAACTTCTAGACTGAATCTTTTTTAGATCTTTTATGTATTATTTTAGTCCTAATGTACTTTGTTTGGTTTGTGTCCTAACAAATACTTTTTGTCACATTTTTTACTTCATTTTACTTCAGTTCATTTAAATCTACTATTTTTTTTTCAGGTGAGGCTAAAATTTGGCAACAAATCCAACTTAAATTGGCCAGTTTACCACAAACTATCGATAATGTTTGTATGCCTCTTGTTAAACGAATTAATCTTGGTCAATTATGTACTAGCTTGGATAAAAAAGATATTTTGTCTAAACCACTTCCGGATTTATTATTACCATTTCAGGTGAATGTTCATTTTTTTTTCTTTATTCTTACTAGAAATGATATTTATTTTCCATTAACTTAACTATTTGTAATCTTTCTTTAAATTTAGTGATGTCATAGGTTGTTGAAAGGGAATAAACACTATTAGTATTTGTAGATCAATGTTTCCTTAAACATTGTACGTTACGGTTAAACTATCATAAAACTAAATTCAACTTCTTACCATTACATTAATTAACATTTAAATTATAATGGAACTATACAGTTTAAAGATTGAATTATTATTAGTTCTAGTTCGTAATTATGGTTTTATTGCTTCGGATCCAGATAAAAATTAGGTAGGAACAGAAGATAATTTTTTTATTTCTTATTGTTATTCGGCTAACTACACCTGCACAGTAATTCTTCACTTTGAAAGAAGGTATCCTCTCTACTTGAGAATAACTCCTATTGTATGTATAATTACTGAATAACCGGGATACTAAAATCACAACAAAAATCTTTCTATTAAATAAATAAGATTCTGTAAAAGCATCATCGAAATATCGGAAATGTGCAACAGAGATTAGTGACAATGTCTCCCTTTCTCTCTTGTAGGACTATAAAAAACGTGTTTTAAAAAACCATTTAGTACACATAAAAGCCGTCATGCTTAAAGGTAAACGTTCAACGTTTTACAAATCAGCCTGGAACTAACCAGATTCTTTAATAAATATCGTTTCAAATCTCAATTATTTATCTTAATGTAGAAAATATTAATGAAGAAAATGTCTACTAATTCCTGTCATTTGTGTTATATCATCGTACAAATAGTATTTCATTAATGAATTGAATATTATTACTCAAATTCATATTACAATTATCAATCAATTAAATGTTTTAAATCGTGTTTGATTAACAGAATTTGTTCTTTTTTGTTTCCTAATTTAGCTTTATATTAAATTTCCTCTCTTCATTACGTTACTTTATAGAATTTACTTTTAAACTTTCCTCGTGTATTATTTCATCATTGGGTTGTTGCACATGCTGAAGTAACGGTTGATAAATTAACAGCGAATCGATCAAATAAAGTAAATCATGATTATATTTGTGAACGAACTGAAATGTTAGCTATTCTCTTGCACAATGCACTTATTTTAATGGTGAAGGATGGTGAACGTTACATTTTACGTAGTTTTAAAGCTGTACGTGAACAAGGTGGTGGCAGTGGTAGTAGCGGGAACTCCAGTACTTCTGCTTCTAATAGTAGTGCTGTTGAACGTCTTTCCAGCTTTGGATCGCCTGGTACATTTAGTGATAAAGATCGACCCAACTCAGGCAATCTATCTGGTTATTCTTCTATCTCTTCATGCAGTTCTCTTAGTTCTTATTCGCCTAATTCAAATGCTCAATCACATACAAGTCTTGTTTCAGCAGCAGCTAGTGCTGCAGTCGCCAGTATGACTGATCGTTCGTCGACATCGTTGGGAAGCTCAAAACTTGTTCCTATATTCCCATTGATAGATGTGTTTACTTCGTGTGGTGAAAAGTTTGGTTAGTTTGTGAATTGATTTAGTTTTCTTAAATTGCTTTGTTTATTAACTGATTATTTAGTGTTTGTTTGCTTGTGAATTGGATTGATATTGTTTACTTCATATAGAATAGTTTAAGACAATCCTTACAGCTGAACACTACAAGTCACTTTCAAAATTACATTATTATCGCCATTATGAAAACAATTTAAATAAACAATAAATAATCACATTTGTTCAATAGATACTCATGTAACGTATATTTAGGACTGAAAATACTACTTCCCTAATTTTATTTAAAATTCACTACTGACCTTATAATGTTCAACTTCTAGACAGTGGATTTTAGTTTATTTTGTTTTACTTGACTGAACTGAGGTATACGCTTCCATGATATTCCATTTTGAATGTTGATTATTATTTAGGCACGAAACTAATGGTTTTAACCCTTTTTAGAAATAAGTAGCTTAGAAACAATTTTATTATTATTATTATCAGTATTACTAGTAGTAGTTATCATAGTAGTAAGAAAAACAACTCAGTGTTTACTTTTCACTATTTGAATAATAAGCTGTCCGTGTGAAAATACCGTTAGTATCTCCTAACCAAACTAAATATGATTAAGTCATTTTGAAAGACATTTAAAAGAAATATTTTCAAGAGTTTTTAGTTGTTTTTTTTAAAAATAGATTTCTATCAGTCAACCCCTTTGAGTGCCTTCTAAATAATGAAAAAGTTAGCTTGTTTCTAATGTGATCTTGGTGATTGAAAAAAAACTGGATAGATTAATTAAAAAGTGACTTATGGACATTAGATAATAATAATAATAATAATAATAATAATAATAATAATAATAATAATAATAGTGATTCTCTAAATTACAACTAATAATTGTTTGAAATTTTAAGTCATTCTCTAACTGGTTAACTACTGCATATTAATCTTGTCACGGATTCGCAGTGTTTAACTAACACAAGTAAATCATGATAGTGCATTCAGTTAATATCGTCTATAGTGAAAATGATTTACAGTTTGTAATCTTTAAGAGACAAACAATGTATTGTAATTGATTATAATTTGATATTTTCACGTCTTTAGAAATAATAATTTGTAAATCTCACCTCGCTAATTAATATCTATCATTCCTTAACTCTCGCAAACTCTAATTATCTAAAGTCTTGAAATAGTTAATATTTCAGTTAAAATCTTATAATGTACATAGTTCACCCGTCTGGTGTTTTATACTACTCATTATTAAATATAAAAGGAATTGATTTATTCTTTTTCTCTCTCTGCATACAAACATATAGGTGGTGATCATCTATTAAATATTGTCTTTATGAAGCAAACAGTTTTGATCCGGTTATTGTTCTCAAAAGAAGATGAAAGACAAAAGTTCGTTGTTGCGTTTTATGTTGTTACTTTTGTTTTAGTTTAGTTCAATTGATACTTGCAAATGATAACATTTGAAACATCTCCAATACCCATCTCTTATTTATTGATATCAATTTGCTTACTGTCTATACATACTGAATATTATTTAGAGAAGTTTATATAGATATTCTGAAATTCTAAACTGAATAGCTTGATCATTATTGTTTTGTGTAAAATTTGTGGACGATTATATTACTTCGAATTTATTTAGGTTACCTGCTATCATTACCACTATTTTATCAGTTGATCACTACAGGGTAACGCAATATCAGATTTGATAAAAGTCTAGTTGAGAATAGTTCAGTCATCATATTATCAGTGACTGGTGGTAGCGCTAAGCACTTTATGTTCGCGTTTTCATAGGAATACTATTTCCCCCAATATTTTACTAATATATTTTTCTATTTCAAAAGTACCAAGATGTACAGAATGCCGATCGTAAACGTTTTTCTGAATAAATCTGCGAAAACTGTTGAATACTTTCTCTATTCCGATAAAAACCAAAACTGGGATACAGGTGCATTCAACTAATGGAGTCCCTAACAGGAAAAATGATTGTCCTGGATTCCACTAAGGTTAAAATCTAATGTGTTTATTAACAACTAGTTTTTCTTGTTAGTGAGAAAGTTTTGAAGTTGTCTTTCCCAATAAAAATATTTATATGTGCCATATGTTTTTGTGCTTTATCTATCAAAACATTATCAGTTGGTCAGCTTATATTCAAGAAAATAGTGTGACTACACAAAGTATTGATCGACAACGTGTGTTGAAACCAACTGCTTCCGCCGCCTCTTCACCATCATCGTCATCTACTCAAAGTCGGTCAACAATCGGTATAACTTCTGAATCGCTTATTTCTAAAACCTCAGGTAATACACATACAGCTGATGACGTTTCAGTTATTACTCCTCAACCATCAACCCAAGATTTAAAAACTTCATTCGGTAAACTTCCTACTACATCATCAACTATTACAAATGATGATAAAACTACCTACCCATCAGATATTAACAGCACTGATCTAATTCCTTCCGGAGAAGAATCCACTGTATTTGTTGATAAATTACAAACTGCTATGAGTAAGTTTATTTATTTTATAAAAAGAGAATTTGACTAACATTCATCATAATAATTAGTTTTAATTAATTTCTATATTATATCAAAGTAACTTTTGAGTTATCTGTTGTCAACGCATCATACTAATATCCAGATGTATAAATCATCTTTTATTCCGAGTATTAGTCGAGTATGTTGAAACTAATGTGCGATTTATTTTGGTTTTAAACAAAGACACTATACTATTCAATCAGGTTATAAACTTGGACTAACTAAGATTACCGCAGCGGTTTTTGTATATACCTCATCACACCTTACAGCAGTATGTCATAATATATGACCAGTTAGTTTCTCAGAGGAACAACAGCAAATTTAATCTGCAGCACTATCCAAATTTACTTTGAGCCCTGTAAAGTTGTAGATAAGTTTTCTGTTTTACTTTATAGTCTAAAAGGTGTATTCACTCATTATTTTACCTGAGCTTACTAGAGTTTTAAATTCATTTGTTGCATGCCTTTTTCTGCATCTCTGGATTTCTCTAGTTTCTTATTATGGCTACTTTGATACTAGGCTACTCAAGAAGTACCAGCGACTTGAAGGAACTGATGATCTCTCTGGTAAATTAGATCAGCACTTAAGATTAGACAAGTTATAGATTACAGATACACGTTGCTGTAACCTCCGACTTAGACGAAACCTATACAGAATTTTCTTTTGACTACCACTTACGTAACCTCTAAAAACAGTGTATACAATGTTCAATCTGTTAGGCTAGCAGCCATATTGCAATTCGATCGATAGGATTCACTCAGCACCAAAGACTGGACAAACTTGGCAGTGGCTGCCACTTACTGGTTACTCAATGTATTGTATGTACTTATTTGATTTTTACTTGTTGTACTGTATTATAACTTGGATTCATATCATGTTATTTTCTGTACATTGTTTTACATCATATTTCGTATAATTGAGATAAATTTCAAATGAGTTAAATGACGAAAGCTTATTTCAATAGGATGAATGTGTTCTGAAATTGAATATTCTTCATGTAAACGAATACATATATTATTATTTTTCAATAAACTATTGATGACCGACTACATGAAATAAGACAAGTGCTTTTCATTTACAGTCATTTTAATTATGATAGGAATAAAAGTGTAAGACAAATTAATAAAAATAATTAAAACTAACTAAGATTAAACCATGTGTAAGTTTGCCTTTGTACTTACTTTCCAAATGTCTATTATATTTATTTCTTATTTTTAAGATTTTAAAATATAAATTTCTAGGTAGTATAGTATTTTTATTCTCAAATCAGTCTTATGTTATCAATATTTAATATTTACCAACTAATGATTTCAAGCTTTTGCTATGTTTGGTCTGATTTATGTCAACTCATATTGACTGGTTGCAGAGTTTCATAATTCTTATTCAATTTGGGAAGAGGTTAAAACACTGACCTATTATCCTAGTTTTTAATCGTTTGTTTTCAATTCATAGATACCTTTTATAAAATAGTCTTTAATACAACTTTACCATCAATTACTTACTTAAGTAAGTTAGTCAATATCATCATCGCCTAACCTCACCATACAGAATGACTCAGTTCGTCTTGATTTCTGGAAGTTCTTTTGTTCAGGTTAAGTCTTTTTTCAGAACTACCACGAAATATGTGAATATACTAGTTAGAAATAATAAACTCTGGAAATAAGTAATTATCGTAACATTAAGAAAGTTAATTTTAAATTTCAGTTCTTGGCGCTTCGATGATTACCCAGAACAACGTTTTTCTCCGTTTACTGGAAATATTTTAAGATTTTTTTGTTTACTAAATGAATTCTTTGCATATTTCTCTTTTTCAATATCGTGCAACACATTCCACATTGTACGAAGCTATAGTAATTTTCTTTTTTCACCTGTCTATGATTAAATATGTTAGAATAACATTTTGAATTTATGGGTTCCGTAGATTAGTTAGTACATATTTCGTTTTGACTAAACAGGTTAATACCATGCTTGTTTTAAGCCATACTACTCGGCTACAATAAGTTAAATAATTGCTTGTACAATAAAAAAATATATAAATAAATTTTGGGAAATCATGCCATAAAAACTTTTAACTAGGTACTCTGCTGCTCTCAAAAACTGACAGTACTTAATGACTGTTGCAATCTGTCAACTGGTGTTTGATTTTTTGAAAAAGCCCTTGAATATTTTTTCTGTTGATATTGTTTCACACACTTGGTTCTATCACAAAAACTAAACAAGACGAACTAAAGTCTTGTCTACAGGGTGAAATGAATTATTTTTAAAACATTCTCCATTACGGGCTGATATCAGGTAGAAGATCATTAAAAGTCAAGATCGAGGTCTACAAAACAAGCTGTGAATCATATGTGAAGAAATTCAAACGCCACTTTTACCTGAAGTTTGTGCTGATGATGAAAGCTTCACAACTAAACCATCCATCTCAGAGAACAAAACTCCACGTAAAATCAAGAAGCAATGTACACCTATTTCGTTCGTTACTTTAGACTCGCCAACAGAACATATTCACCCCTCTACATAGAACTAAACGACTGACTTTACACTCTAAAAACAGACTAGTTAGTGATCTGTAACACGGTCAGTATTTAATGCCATGGGTGAATACCTATTTCGTAGCTCACCAACCACTGAAACTTGAAAAATTCATCAGTTTGTTAAACTTAATAAGTGGGGTTTTTTTGGGAAAGAATAATATTTACTTACTTTAGGTCTCATGATTTTGATCCACATCATCTAAATAATTTTTTTCTTATGTTAATAGAATAAATCAGAAACGATCAACTTAAATTATACTAGAACAGTAATTCAGTTATAGTTGGTTTCTAAAAAAACATGGACGACTACTTTTTACATAAGATGATTTCGATTGAAATTATAAGCTAATAAGTGTAAGTAGTAAACAGTAGTATCATTTTAAAATGAAAAGCGAATACAAAAGTGTATCGAATACAAGAAATGGTATGTAATATTACAGCAAATAACTCAACATTAACACTAGGATAAGAGTGTTTTTTAAAAAATACATCTTTCGTTAAATTCGCTTAATGATACAGACTACTTCAAGTGACTAGAGTTTTCCGTTCTACTTTCGATTTGTTGATCTAAACGTTCTATCTGTTTAATATCCCAGTTTATTACATCACTAGTTAGTGGTATTCTACATTTTTAAACAATCAACAACCTCTTGTTTTTCCACCATTTTCATCGTTTGTAGAGTGAATTCTTATTTAGTGTAAGTAAACTAATAATAATAGTTATAATATGATTACAATAATTCAAAATATTATCATTATTAATGCTATCCAACTCAGTCTTTACAAATAATTGCACAAAAAAATCTTAAACATTCATTAGTTTATCAGCATACATTAAAACGTTTACACAGTTAGCTGGTGATTTTTTTATTTGGATTATTATTTCCGTTTTAGTTTATTCGTTAATCGATTTCTCTGGTTATTATTAGTGAAATTAGTTGCATAGATTTTTTCATAATGTTTAGTTAAACAGTTAGATAACTGCATTATCGATACTAAGATAGATAATTTAACATAATTTATGCATTGATATACATTTGTTTGAATATATACTAGTTTAACAACGTGTATATATAATGGTCAACACTACCTAAATTTGTACAAAATATGCGTATTTTACCTTAACGTTTGACTTGATAGTTAAAGCATTTAACTTTCTATCACTGGATTGCAGTTTAGCTACCCACTTCAGTTGGAATATCGCTAGCCTTCACACACATCAGGTTTAAGTTTTATGTACTTTGTTCTCTTTGTGAAATTAAGTGCGACAAGAAAGAAGCATGTTTGCAGGATATGATAAATTCATCATATTTTCGTCTTTATATATACTATTCAAGCTAAATTAATAGGAAACTTGTTGTAACTTTCAGCCCAGCTAATTATCATGTGATTTATTCGCCAATCGAAATACGACTTATTCAGTCTTAGTACTGTGCCAAATCAATGACGTCCGACTGGTATGAGCAGCCTAGCGTCCTCATTGGTCCTTCGTTCACCTATCCCTTCCAGTTGAGACCAGAATATCAATAACAGCTTCCACTATGCGAATCATTTATTTCAAACATATTTGGTTTATATCCCAGCCAAACAGACCTCATCACACTATAAAATAGGAAGTAACATTTATACAAGATCAAGCCATAAGGTGGCTGTGAACGTGGAAGACTATGACTAATAAACTGAGTATAATTTAAGAATAGTAAATTGTATAATAATAATAATAATCTATAAGTCAAAATGAAGCTTATAATAAGACTAATATAGATATAACTATTCAGTAACCAAATTATGTGTATCTATATTCCTCTTATTATAAGCTTCATTTTTACTTATGGATTATTATTATTAATAGTTCTCAAAAGTTACCCATAATTTAATCTTCGCTAGGATATAACAAAACTAATAGCAAGTATCACCGTACTTTAAGAACTGGGTAATGTGTCAATATAACAGTAGATGTTTAACTGTGCCTTACATCATTTGCAGTTTATTTGTTGAAAGCTTAGTGGCTACCCACTTCAAGGCTCTCTTGGTATTTTCAAAATTGCCAATATTTTAAGGATTCCATATTTCATAGCAAAACCATTATCGATAAGGTCTCTATAAAGAAGTTTAAATACATTACGTCACTAAAGGTAACTGTAACCATACCTTGTATCGTCAAGGATATCAACTGAGTTTAATGCTTATTATTAGCGAAGCATTTAGTCACGATAACAAAATATATAATTCTGATGCATCTCACAGTTCATAACCTCTTACTAGAGCATCGATGTTCTTGTAGATAACACTAGTCACAATATTTTCTTCAAAAATGTCTTCGGATGAATCGACTTTCAGCAGAACTTGTAGCTAACTAGTATTTCACTATTTCAGTGACTTTTTCTGAATATGCTCAGATGTAATAGAAGCACATTAACTTTATTTGGCATACTACTTAATTTCAATGTTATGTTTCAATAGGATAGGGTTGACTCGACGATTGAAAATGGGAAAACACCCTAAAAGATTCCTAATGACTATAGTCAATATAAATTTTAAGATTTCAGTATCCCTTTCTAAGATGATAAAGTATATTTATAGCTCATAAAAACAATCGAAGCTTCACAGTCAATTCATCCAGCTTAGAAGTCACAGCAACTCCAACACTTCAGTATCCCATTTAACATTAAGATTAGCGAAGCAGTTTCTTACAAGAAATGTTATCTGTAGAATAAACCCTACAACATCACAAATAAATTATCCATAAACATGCTATGTTATAACTTTCACGATATTGGATAGACAGTAAGTGACACGGAATTTATCGTAATGTGCAATTAGACAACCATTTCGAAGAGACAGTCACATTTTTTATGTACGATAAAGTAATACTATCTATCTATGTAGATAAAGCAGTATTCGGACCCGGTTTATAAGTTGAACTAGTTCGAAATTGAAAAACAACAATCCACAGTACTAGTAATTTCCTGCTAACTATTCAACTAAAAACTAATTATTGATTTTTTCTTAAAACAAATTTAAACTTGTTAGGTTTCACTTGTTCCTTTCATTTATTCACATTGTAATTAGGGTGATACATATTTCATCAAAGTAAATAGTTTTGTTTATTTTAAAATCTTTGTTATTTTTTGATGTGGTGAAATAAAATTAACTATTGTTAATACTCTAATCGAATATAAACACATGTTTGTGTCCTATTCACCAGTGTCTATGTTTATATTCATTTATATATTTATGTAAATGTACATAATACTTTCTCGCTTTGATTTCTTTTCTAACTAACAATCTCTGTCTGTTACTTTTACAAAATAATAGTTCTCATTAAAAAAGTTATTAACAGAAAGTAAGATCTAATGGTAATAATGACGCCGATGACGACGAATTCGGTTTTGTTGTTCGTTGTTAGTTTCTGTTTATTTTTTTACTTCACTTTGATGACAATTAGTAGGAGTGAGGATGGTTAACTATAAAGTTACGCAATATGTTGTGCACCAGTTGGTTTTTATACATTAATCATGTTGTTAAAGAAAACATAAAAACAATCGTTTCCTCTGTTTTAAATAATATAGTTGTACGCATATTTATTTACTGTAAGCAGTGATGTGAAAACATTTTAACCATGTGGTTATTGTGATATGCGTTCATGTATGAAAGTAATAATTTACTATAATCAAAATCTGATCCTGTAAAATAGTCACAATCATAATCTACATGAAAATGTTTTTAAAATTATAAATATTCAACGTAATTGTATCATAATAATTGAGTTTTATAAGTATGAGTTAATAAAACTTAATACCTTCACTATTATTATAATTACACATATTACCAAAGTCCACCTCTTCACCATGATGCAGATAATGTTTATATAATACTAAGAATTTCCTATCTACGCATTGGTTGAGTCAAGTAATATAAACGAGCAATATCGTTTTTAGTTATATTTTCACCAAACTTTAATATGCATATAAAATTATGTAGATTATGAATAGTTAATACTTTTCTCATATTTGGTTAGTGGAGATTGACCTAGGTTATTTATAGTATTCAATCATACTCTTTCTTTTCCATACACTAAACAAAAGTTATTGAAATTCCAGTTTAATGAAGTGTGAGGCAAGATCTAGTAAACGACTTCCCCAACGTTTTATCATTTTTTCTACTTTTTCCTTTTTTTATTGGTAATTTCATTATTCATACTCTTCGTCCTGTGTATTACTTTATAGTAAAAGGTTTTGGTTGGTCAGTTTTATTCGTCGCAAGAGCGAAATAAATCCCACCAGTGATATTTTATGATATATGTATATGTTTCACAAATGAATTAAGATTAAAATATGTACTGCAGAACTGCCACTGGTTAGTTTGAAGTTAATTCGAGAGGTCATGATCCTCGATTCGATTCTCCTGTGTATGATTGTGTATATGCACTATAAACATTCACTCTGTTCCCATCTCGAATTTTTTTTCTAACTTAATTTTGTTCTATTCAAAATTGCATTACGGAATTATAACATTTGTTCTCATAGAATAAGGATTACTGAAATGTGATTTCTCTGTTTATTTGTGTTATGGATAAGATCAACACATTAAGTCAGTTTTCATTGCTAGTTTTGATACTTCAATATTACTTATATTAATAGTTGTCTCTCTTCACCTATTTTATGAACCATTTATTCATGACACTTATAATCTAACGAGGGCTAAATAAAATTACTGCTTACTAATTGAATTCTATCGATTATTATTTGAAGTTGTGAATACGCTATAGGTATGCGTTTTAAAGGTTATTTCAGTAGTATTTATGTCATGCACATAAATGTACCTTATAAACAAATAATTTATGCTTATCTGACCTAGTTCTAAAGTATAGTTAACTGATTCATTAGCATAAAACTCATGTACTAATTATTTATAGAATTAGAATCTGGTTATATTTATTCAACGTAAATAAAATGTAATATGAACCGATTCAAACTGATAAGTTGAATTCAAAGCGAATTAATAAAGGGATGAATAGATAAAATTTGTTTTGAAATGAAAGAGATATAGAGGAATTCATTCGTATTTAATATACACTTCACTCTATGCACTATAAGAAATGATAATTTTTTATCAAAGAGATTACCGTATAACTCTGCAATGAAAACTGTTTGATATTGATTTCATAGCTAATCATGTCATTAAAGATGTGTTCTTAATTATTTATGTCGATCAGAAATGTAGTATATTCTTTATAATACAAAAAAAGCAACCGATGTTACATTAATCTGTTTATTGAGTCACATTTATATTGGTACACTGATATTGGAGTTCCTACCCCTGATGAATTCGAAAAATAAACAACTTTTGCTCATGTACTCTGATTAGTTTGATCGAAGGATTTATTTCTTCTGACTTTGATCATTATCTCTGTTTGTTGTCAAAACTTACAATATCCTGAACAACACCAAATAGCTTTCGAGTTACCATGTTGCTACATGAAATTCTTATTTTGACACTCACAAACTTGCCATATTCGATCATAAATGCATTTATAAAGGATTTTACGACCGATTCTTGTCAACCAGTAATATGTATTGCTATGTGTGTGTGCTTGTATCTGTAATAGAATAAAGACATTTAATCTTTTAACATTTATTATTTACATTGATAATTAATTATCATCATTACGATAACCATCAATGACGTAGACCAATTTTGTTTATTTATTTGAGTTTTAATTGTAACAATAATTTTAAATTATCATCATCATCATCACCATCACCATTCATGTTTGTGTTATTAACAAGCGATGGAAAGACGCATAGTAATCAATATGAACTTATAAATATGATGAATTATTGTCAAATTGGCATGTAATTCAGATTGGGTATACACACACATAAAATTACAATTTTATCGAATAACAACACTGTAAATAGGTTAAAATCAAGATGTAAATTTTAATCTCTTTTATTCAAATGCTTTTGATATGTGAAAATAAAACTTAGCAACACAAATAGACAGATAGATAGATAGTGAACGTGGCGTAGGGTGATCAGTGACGCTTCATGTAAATGATCTTCTTCAACATTCTAGTTATTTTCTGTTTTTATTGTGTTATAGCTCGTTTGATTGCGTATATACTCTTAGTTTATGTATGTATTCAGATATAGTTCCCTAACAATTCTCGATTAAAACTATCTTCAAATCACTGAAAATCTCCAAATAGCGAGGTTTTTATTATTTTCATGTCTTTCTGTCATATTCTTAGATTGATACCAACTAGTGTTTAGAAAAAGTTTAAGTTTTACAATAAATTTAACTATCTCCACATTATATATATAAACTATGCTTTTTTCCTTGATTTAATTATAATCTATGTCATAATTATAATGATTGGTTGATCGATTGACTACTTTAACTAACGAGATGGGAAAATGTCAAATATATAACATGAACAAATTCAATTATCACTGTCATCGTTGTTATTCTTCTTATCCTGCTTTCAAACAAATTTGATTTATTTTCTTCCAAAAAAATAAAGGATCAGTGGTCATATATGTGATCAAACTTGAACTTTGAAAAGAAATTCATTGATTCACTGTCATCCTTCATCATTAAATTATCTTACTGTGTTTCAAATTGACTAATTTGTCATCTTTTTTAATCAATGAAATTGTAGTTACCATTCATGAATCAATTATTTTTAAGTTCAGTAATTAATCAATTTCCTTTCTATTTTGTTTTATTAAACAATTCTTTTCTTTCAAGATGAACTATTAGAACAAACACAACAAATTATTTGTGAAAAATATAATATATCTAAAGAAGAATTAGCCAATGCAATGAATGAGGTAAACTATGTCATTGAAACTATTAAAGTTTTTTGACGATTCTCATTACATAAACGTTTGTATACTGTTACATGTTTCTGTGTTTCTACGTACATATGATTGTTTTTTTTTAAACAAAAAGTTTGAACATATTTGATTACAGTTAAAGAAATGGTTGATACTGAGGATAGGACTGTTTTCTTCAAACGTTTACAAGACCCATTAATAGAATCTTATCTTGTACATTAACTACTCTTGGTAGTTGACTGACGTGAGAATTTTTCAATCACTAATTCCAATTATTGAGACCACGTTTTTAAAATTTCTGTCTAAGTGGTACTGTGGTGTGCTACTGATGTCAATGGATATACGTAGTATGTATCACTAATCGAAAGTGGAATGTCTGGCGGCAGAGGGTTGAGAAGATCGAAGAGGAGAGAACGAAAACAAAGAGTAATCGGTCCGAACAATTAATGGATATTTTGCTAATGAAGTACTTACTTTATGGTTCTCAGATTTTACTAAGACATTCGGTAGTTTTATGTTCAAACACGTTTGGTTGTCCTCACTTATGTTTTCGTTCACTACAGTATCATCTCAATGAATATTTTACTCGTTTTCTGTGTGTGTTGCAGAAAATAATACATAGAAGTTAGTTAGTCGTTGATATCTGACTACAATATTTGCATTTGCTTGTTAACAAATCCTATTCTCATACCATGGTAGTGGTCATTGAATTAATCTTATTCAAGTGAATACTAAAAAGAAAAAAAACATGTTTATATATTCCGACTTTCTCTTCATTTTGACAAATAATATACATTGAAAATAAACGTGAATGTTTGTTTTTCAGATTTAAACAAACAATATTTAGGCCTAAATTTGTATTGTCAGTATTTTTAGTTTATCTGTAAATCAAACACAGTTTTCTAATTTCTTATAATTATGAATAGCTTGTGCTAAAAATAATCGTACTTAAACATCATTGTTCATCCATACACACACACACTCACTGAATAAGACTGGATATTTTACAAATCTCTTATGTTCCAAAATCTCAAACATACATAGGTTTCTAACAGGAGACCGATAACAAGACTTAGTAATTCGAGTATTGTGTATAAATATTTTACACATAGTACGTATTTACTTTAACGACCGAATCCCTTGATTGATATAAACTCACTGTGTAGCAGGAAAGTTTATATAATTAATAAAACTTTTGCCTCAAAACTCGATATAATAATTAACCAGTCAGTAACATCTCAATTATTGCTCTTATAAAAATATCTTATCATAGTAATTTTTTACATACTAGTTTGTGATATGAAGTGACTTAGTTATCATATTGATATTTTAGGCTGTTGACGGATTAGGCTAAAGTTTCTCTACTTCTGATTTTAATCCATACTCCTAAGTGATCTGAGTAATCTTGTCGCTTAGTTCATTCTGTCGTTAGACCAGTCAGCATAAAACATTTAACCATTTTTTCACTGTAATTTTAGTCTGGTTAAAAATATATACAGCTAGCTGTATATTTGTCGTGACCACTTTCTTGGTATGGTAGTAGAGCTTGCGTACCGTAATTCTCCCAGTCGACTTGCATACTTGCGTTACTTGGGGTGTAGCTAAGATGTTCTCCTACTAAAGAGCGGGTCAGTATACTGTACAAAAGACCACATTGTTTTACTTAGTGTCCATGAAACGTGGTCTTTAAAAGCAGATGACATTCGAAGGTTACTAGCATTCATTCATAAGTGGCTTCCAAGTGGAAGGACCCCCGATTGTTCAACGCCAATACTAGATGCAGGTTACTAAGCCAATATGGAGAATTACTTGGTGGTCCTATGAATCTTAATCGACTGATACGTGTATCTCAAGTCACCGCCTTCTTCAACGCGCAATTTCATCTGAAGTATGTTAGAGTAAGTTGGAAAAAATTTAAAAAGTCACACTAAAAAATAATATCTACTCGAATATTACTAAATAAATCACAGTTTATGGTAAACTGTTTTCGGAATTGATAACTTCAAGTGGTGCTCGTCAGGGTTGTTTGCTCTCCCTACTTTCAGTTAACTTTCCTACCATCATCGTCCGATTGATCAGAATTCGATGTTCTCTGAGAAGATTCTCTTGTTGACTTGAAATATGCAGATGGTATAACTTTATTTGATGAGGTTTCAAAAAAAGAAGTCTTCTGATGACCTTAATCAAGAATGGAATTTAGGATGCATTTCTCTCCATATAAATGCAAAATGTTGCTGTAGGACTGTCTTGCGTCGCTGTCTGAATTAAGGACAGGAAGTCGAGTAGCTGAGTGTGTCGACCACTTTGTTTATCTTGTGAGTCTCAGCAGCCGCGGTGGTCTAGATGAAATCTCAACAAGAATTCATAAAGCCTGGTATGCTTTTGCTAACTCAGGCTACTAGTATTAGATCATAAATGCCGTCAAAGCATTGGAACCATTAAGTTAGCGACTTTGAGGTCAGACATAGAGTACTAGGTAACGATTACAAATCCATTGACGAAGTAGGGAATCTTTATTGACTGAGATGGCTAAAACCTGCATTACGTGGGCCCATAAACCAACTACTTCGACCTGAGATGATGACAATTGTAGAAATAGGTTGGAAGAAAGCTATGGGCAGCTAAAACAACACACAGAGACACTCTCTTGGACTCAGATCCTTGTAGGTAGGTACCAACTACATAATTGTGGTTCTTATGATTATCATAATGACATGAACAGCATGACTCAGAATCGTTTGCGATATTGCAGTTGCATTTACTCCTTGTCTTCCCTATAAATTTCTGAAATCTATTTTACTAATTTACATTTGGTGGGCTCGTACGTTAGATACATAATCTTTTCGATAACCACTAATACTGTATTTGCCTCTACTATCCTGGGATTTTTCTGGTAATTTTATCTTTCTGTGCTAATGAGTTCTAACAACTTGAACCAATGTACACATGTCATAGGCTCTTCAAATTTGACTGACAGTCGTTGAAGTCATCGACTATTCATCTGGGTCATGTTAGTCGATTTAGAACACCTTTTTGAGGTCTATGGGACTTTCAGTATCTTGATACATTGTGTGACGGCTCAGAATCGCTGAAGGGTGGCCCAGATGCATTCGCTTTTTGCTTACTCTTATATCCTGAGCCTCAGAATTATACAGTACTTTCTACTAAATGAATTCACATTTCTGGGTCTTCCCTTGTTATTATCAATGATACTACTATTAATTTCATGATTCTCTCTTCGTTTGATTATATAGCGTGGAAACTTGGAATGATACATAGTTGTGCCAGATTTCCACGTTGTTTATAACTGACTGACTTGTGTTTTTGCTCGGTAATCATTTTCCGTAATCACTGACCAGATACTTTGACCTTCGTGTGGCTCAGTGATAGATGAGATACTGATGAAAGCAAGTGCATTTTCTGTTCATTCACGTTGGTGATGATTAATTCTATCATTCTATAAAATTGTATTAGTGAATTGTCACTGCAACATCTTTTCAAAAATTATTGTAAACCAATATGACCAATCTGAAAACTTGATAAGATTATTACGCTAAGGAATTCATGAAAAGAAAGTGATCATAATCTAAAGTGGTAACTCTATTCAATATTGTGTACGTGGTCAAAAGACGCCCGTCAATTTGAATTACATCTGCCAAATTATTTTCGTGAGCTGATCATCCACTCTAACTTTTACCTTACTACTAATAAAATATCATATTCACTATATTTATCTTATTAATTAATGCAAGAACTTGAGCACTCTCATTTCTGTGCGAAATTTTATTTTATTTTCTTTCCATTCTTAAGAATGAGTCTGATATCACTTGGTAGTTCAGTTATAATCATCATACAATAAAACGTACTTCTCAAAGTTGTTTTAAACATTGTTTATTTTCTTTACATTCATCCCGTCTAACTTTTGGTTCATAGGGCGATGACGTAGATGATATCTTGAATCCTGGAAAAATCCTGTTGTTCCAAATAAAATATTTCGCAAAATGTTACAATTTAATAACTCGAACTCTTGCTCCACAACCTTCAACATATTTTCTAAATCAAATACAAAATCATCTTGAATCTATAAACGATGAAGGTCATCAAGAACTCGAAATGTTAATGCGGCAAAAGAAAAGACAAAGCTCATTGTCATGGACAGAAGGTTATCTAGAGTCACTTAGCCGGAACCCTGTACTAAATATTGGAAGCAACAAAGTAATTGGTAGTATTGAATCAGAAAGATCTCGGTTTAATGTTATCGATGCTCAACCAGATGACTCCATCTCCAAAGCTACACATTCGTCACCAAACTTAGTCGGTTCAGATAGCGAACGTGGTCGTATTGAGATTCAAGACAAGCGAAAATCTAAACGCCGATCAAGGAAGTCTGAAGCAGGTCCTGTTTCAAATTTGGATTTCACTTTCTTTGATAACTTATTGAATAAGGAATTAATTACAATGGCTCCAGTATTTGCAAAATCTGTCATGTGTTTGTGCAAGGTATGTTGTTTGTTAACTTCGTGTTCAACATGTAAGACACGTTTAGAAAGATTTAGCACTAGTTTCTGCTCTGTATAACTATGAGTTAAGTTTAAGGTGTGTATATTAAAATTAAGACTTTTACGTTTGTCGCTTACAGAGATTGGATGTAGTACGTTGAAAATTCCGCATATTTTACTTTATAATCGTAAATTACTTATTAGTAGTTAGTGTAACTGTAATAAAACTCAAACGTCCCAAAGGCAGAATGATAGTTCAGTTTTTAGTTCGTGCCATATAGTTTAATTTGAAATCTTGTATAATAACTGGATCATTTTTTGTAGGTGAAACTTATATTCTCAGGGAAGCATGAGGCTCATTTATGTTTTATTTTTATGTTTTAATACTACTATCCTTCATCATGACTGCTCTAAGTCTTCCATTAAGGCAGTGAAAGCGCAAATACATAATGGATTCTTAGATATGAAGTTGCTTATAAAAGATAACTGGAGCGTATTTTTTCACCGAAGCACAAATCATGGGTTGGTCACTACTTTATTTTCATCTTTGGAATTTTTTTTTCGTTTTGTACTTAGAGAACATCATTTTTCGAATTGATTGTTGGATGATTTTGGGATATCATTAGCTAGCTATAGGCAATAAGGTCATATTTATGTTTCTGACTTATCACTTTTTCTCATGATGTCTAATTTCGTACTAAGGAATATTTACGTATTAACTTCGTTTTAAAGCTAAATTTTTTATCCTGATCAAGTTAACTTTTAGTTCACTTAAATTTTTATTTTATTCTCTAGTTAACTCATCAAGACCCATCGCCGAATAATTTATTAAAAGGATCTACTAGTTCAAGAAAAAGTTTATCAAGACCATCTGTTCAAATCGATTCTCAAATTCATTGGACTAAAGTTGACGATATTGAATGTCCAGTCATTGGGAGTACTGAAGAAGTTGAAGATGAAGAAGTTAGAACATTGGCGAATTCTATCATCGATTTATCTTGTTCACAAACAACTGACACATTAAAACTGGACACACTTTCCACTGAACAATCGGATGCATTGCATAGTAGATTTGATTTGTCTGTGGATAATTCAGACCAAGGTACTTCTGTTTATTTTTTTTACAATTGAAATTTTTTAAAAAAGGTTCTCGTCACCAACATTCGTTAGTAACTGGAAAGTACTGAACAGATGTTTCATCCTAGTTTATAACTCCTAAACGATCTATACTCTCTACTCTACATGGGGCTAAACCCGGTACCGTTCGCTGACGAGTCCCAAATAAGACGGAACGCACGTCCTGGATTTCACTGATAGTCACCATCCATCTCTGCTTATAGTGCTCGTAACTGAAGGCAATATCGAGTTAATCCTCACAGGATGCACATATACCAATAAGAAACTGATCAACTGTATTCCTAAACATAAATGGGAAGATTCAAACAACCAATACAAAGCTAAAGGTCACTTCACACGATCCCAAAAGCCAGTAGCCATTTTTGACTCAGTAGCTAAGTAGATAACGCGATGATATTTAAGGCGAACGCTACTGGGTTCGAGTCCTGGAGTGGACATTAACTCTGGGATGCAGGTACATCCAGATGACGAGTCACAAATAGGACGAAACGCGCGTTTTGGATTCCACTGCTAGCCACCATTGTCTTTGCTTGTAAGATGTGAATTTTGTTTCTGTATACTTATTTTTTTTAGACTTGAATTCAGTCGCTGCACAACTTGTGTCTGATGTGTTGGAAAATGCCAAAAACTATTTCTCAAATCATATCACAAAATCTAATGATACAGAACAGAAAACAGTGAATGTTATTCGTGACAGCGGATGTGCACCATCTGCCACAGATGAAGATGAAGATTATTATTATGAAGAAGAAATTGATGATGATGTTGATGATGACCACGTGAATAACGATGAAACAGTCGAAGAAATATCAGAAAATCATAACGATATCTTAACATCATCTGGGACTATTTCCACTTCAGACACTTCAACTCCTAAATTCGTGGGCGTTGCTTCTACTTTTGATGATGCTTCATTGGATCAATATAATCAGTTAGATAAGACATCGTCTTTACACGATGATTTACTCATTGATAATGATGCTATTGATGTTGTAGCACCATGTCCTGCTATTTTTATGTCTGGAACTACCACTCCTATTGATTCTTCTACTATTACTACAACAACAGCAAATATTATTACTAACACTAGTACTACGATAACAACAAACATTGGTCGTAATGACTCTCAGAAGTCAACCACTTCAAGTGGATATGTCGACTCTAGTGATGATTAAGATTAGTAGGCAATATTCTTCGAATACCCTCTCAAACACTAATTCAAAAAAAAAAGAAATTAATATCCAGTTTATCAATAATGAGTTGATTAACTTTCAGACATCTGATTAACCCCGTCATAAAAAATCATTATTTTTATTGTGTGATAATGATAATCAGAATAGGAAGATGGATATGTTTTCGATCTAGATTAGATTTGTGTGTATGTATGTGTGCTGTATAACTTTTTTTAATAACATGCATTTCATTTTTGACGCCGTTTATTTCCAAGACTTATTATGTCTTTAGCCCATCCTCTATATATATACATATATCACTTACAATTGTTTGAAACAGACATTGTTTTTGGCGTTTTTATCGCCATGTTGTACACGTACATACACAAACGCTTTTGCATCAGGTATGCTCGTGTATCTTTCTGTTTGTATATGTATGCGTGTATGTATTTTATCATGTTTAATTTAGTTTATTACCCCTTTTCGAAGAACATCCTACTTTTTTTTCAATTATTTCTCTAAATTAAAATCTAAACATTATGTGCCTTCCATTTTAAATCATTCGATTTCTTCCAAATATTTGTATTTAAAAAGATAGACATGATTGTATTATACTCAAAAAATGCTTTTCTTTTTTTGTATGTGTACGTGAAAAAATGCATGAAAACACCTAAAAATAAACATTCATTGTTTATACTGTTTACTATCTACATATTTTCTTTTTGTTTAAATATAATATGTATCAATGTACACACGTGGATCGTGTGCTTTTCATAAATTTGTGTGTAAATACACTAATCCTGTTTTCAATAACAACACTATACTATTACTACTACTATACTCATTAATACAGAATATCTTCATTTTATTTAAAACTTATTCTCATTACAAGTATTTAATTCACTCATCATCACACATTGTTAGTTATAAGTTTATTTCCTATTAAGGCATAAATTACACTCTCATCTATTCAATTACATAAATTTATTGAACAAATAAATAACCAATAGTAAATGAGAAACATAATACATTGTTTCCTTTTATTTCCATTTTATTCCCAATATCGAAAAAGTTAAATCTTGTAATTTTTGTCCATTTGATTTTTTCGAAAACAAAATCAAAGTAATTTTTTTTGTTTTACAAGTCATATCTTTTTGCTGTTGTTATTGTTGCCTTGTATATCATGAAATTTATTCTGTTTTTTTTTCTTTTTTTAACAGAACTAATACAACAGTGTTAAAGATTGTAAGGAATATATATTTAACTTAAATGATTTTTCTCTTTATGTTTGATATAATCGATATTTACACTTCATTCTATTAATTTAATCATTTATTTAACGCGGTTAATCGAAATATAAAAAATATGAGTTAATAATGGGTCTACTATTTGTTTATCAAGACAAAATTAATAAATATTTAAAAGAATTATCTCTTACTTTGATTTATTTTTATAGATGTCTCAATGGTTAAGAACATGAGTCAGTTGAAGCTAGACCACCATGGAAAACCTGGAAGGACTGGACGGCCGTTTCGTCCTATTGTAGGACTTCTCAGCAGTGCGCATCCTCGCAGGGGTCGAGGTCGTGGATGCTTTAATATCCACAAAACCCATCTTTGATAGATGTGTTTTTTTCTAACAAGGTGTTTATGTAACCAATGTATATAATTTAATGTATATATATGGCAACTAAGAACATTTATCAACATTCAAGGTTGCATAAATATTAAAGCATAGAATATGGGAGGAAAGTAAGAAAGGTTAACTATAAAAGTATTTTAAGAAAGATAAGGCATATAAATATGAAAAGTTGAAAATTATTAGATTTTCTTAGTAAATTTTAATTGTCTGTCGAGGGAGCAATGATATTAAAACATTTGTCATTTATAGGCCTGAGTTACTAACTCAAACATCACATGGAAGGCACTCTATTGAGAGAATACGATAGATAACGTTGAAAGTATGTTTTTCCATTTCGTCTTTAGAGGTAGTAATTTCGAATTTGATAGCTAGTGAGTTCATGTGTCTTTTTTTCATTGTTCAGTGCTTTCAATGTTTGTGGTATTCGAACAGGATTTCTTTGTCTGCTAACTTGATTAGTCCACATCGTTTCTAGTCTTCTATATCTTTTCTTTTCGACTCGAATAGGATGCAATCAGTCAATAAAGTGTCTTTTATCTCAATAAAATGTGTGGACGTTATTTATATTAAAAACTAATCATCGTCATCTGGATTGATTTTATGATTTTCCACCTTTTCCAAGTGCATGCATATTCATGTGTAATTTTTTGGTTAGTACCGAGAGACGGGAGAAAATTGTATTGAAATTTATTCACGAGGCAATACAAAAGATTTTACGTGTGTTTGAACTTTTTGGATTATCTTCACAAGCAACATAGCTATGCTTTCCAACTTGTCACGACGAATATCGGCATTTTTATCTTATTTGATATAAATAATCGTACAAATGCCATGTCTAATTACGCTCTAGAAACTTCGAATACTTTTCACACTTCCTGGTTCCCACTTCAAATTTATTTTACTTCAGAATAGTGTCTCACGAATATCGACAGTACCCCAGTCTTAAACAAAGGAAATCTCGAAATATTCCCGTAAATATCATATTAGTAAACGGCCGACGCCCTGCCCATATACATTGTGGAATATGCAAAGTTATTGCTTACAATAAATAATTGTTATGATCTTATGGCCCGTCAAATATCACGTGACAAAACCTCCAACTAGATCACCTGCCTATACGTCCTTGGCCCCGTGCCAAACTAATGACGCGTCAACCAGTACGAGCTACCTAAGGTCAATCTCTGAGTCCTTATCGGTCCTCCTTGCCTAGCCCTGCCCGTCTGAGTCCAGAACACAATCTTAGCTCCTACTGTATGAACCATGTATTTCAGACATACGCAGTTTATATACAAGCAAATCAAATCGCATTATACCATAAAACAGGAAATAACAAATGTAAAAGATCAAGCCAGAAGTGGTTGTGAGTGTGCGATAGTGTGACTAATAGATTGGGGATAACTTAAGAATAATAAGTTGTATAACAGTACCCAATAGGTCAAATGAAAGCTTAAATAAGAGAAATATAAATACATGTAATCTAGTTACTTAATTGTTATACAATAAGAATATATATTTAATAATGGTCCATAAATATTTCCTAGAAGTTACCCATAATTTATTCTTCTTCGGATACAACAATAATAGTAACGATTCTATTTGAAGAACTCATTACCATTCTGCTGAGGGACTGGTAATCACTTACCAGTTGTAAGTATGTCAGAGAGGTTTGCAGTGCCGAGTGTTGTGGTACGCATCTTGCCAGAAGGTACTTTATGTTCTAGAGGAGCATCTAGAATGGGGTAAGGGGAATTTGGAAAAAGTGTGCCGATGACCCATCGAGAACACACAATGCATTTACATTTAACTCAAACTTTCAGGGCTGTATGTTCAACTCCGGCGCTAATTTTGTCTAAGAATTTTTCTACTGCTTTTTCGAATGGTAGTAGTATAAAATTCTCTTAGTAAGTGTATGTTCGCGTGTGTTTGGGAATCCGTCAACATATTCATTTCAGTAGACAGCAACCGTTAGTTTGCCGTAGATGCTAAGTTACTTTTATTTCTGTGTATCTCATTCATGTTTGGTTCAAAGTTAGCAATTAATTTTTCATTCCCACTTACAATTTCGTTTTTCTCAATGCATCACTTCGACTGAATAGCTTTTCCTAGAGGTAAATAAATCTCCGAGATAAATAGTTTTGTAAATCTTCGACATTGATACTAACCTCATTAATTTAATGGGCACATCCTAGATGAAGGCGCTTGGTCACACATCCGCACCAGACCACGAGTAGGTACGCTGTGCTACTGATTCCTTGCAACTGCTAGTTAGCTTAGACCAAATGCTTGTCAACATATCGATAGCTTTCCAAATAAGTCTTCGAACCTCTACATTATTGATTTGACTGAGTTAGTATACCTTGATCATAAAAGTGTTTCGTAAAAGGCGTCGTCAAACTATAAATACCTGTGACATCTTTGGCTTTTTACTGATTATGTTAGTTTATTTTACTGCATATCGGTTTACCACGGTCGTTTACTACTACTTGAGTCTGTTGAAAGACCCTGACGTTTTGCAAAAGTTATACCTCCGCTAATATTTTAGAAGCGTCTTTTTTCATGTGATTGGTCTTGCTGTTGTGATCATTGTGTTTACTTTGTACCTCATCGTTTTGGTTGTACCAAGTCTCTTTGTTACAGATTAGTACGAAAAGTAAACTATATAGCCCTGGAAATCAAGGATTATTCACAATAAATATATCACTTCAATTCATCTAGAAGATGAACAATCAATTTTTTAGGGTAATAGGTATTTAGGAACAGTCAAATCTATCAACAAAGCAGTCACAAAAAAGTATGGTCATGCAGTGTGGTCGCTACCGTAGTCCAGTGACGGAATAAAGCCACGAAAGATAGTGAAAAACTTTAATGGCAAGATAAAATTACCAAGAAACTTACAATTATGGACAGAATGAATGACACTAAGAGGGAAGGAAATAAGCAAGAATGTGAGATCTCTGTATTTTAATGTTTCGATGCAACCCATTATGGTTTCAGTACACGGCATTATTGGATACAAAGTTCCCATAGGTGGACGTTGGATTATTGACAAAAATTCCATGTTCATGTCTTGTAGGATTCTTATGGGGGGAAATTCACCACCAAAGGCTACTTTAGGAGTTCTAGAAATGCTTAGTATGGAGTAAAAACTCAGCCTGAATAGTTTTACTATCAAGGTAATCCTATTACAATTAATAAACCAATGGTTTATTATTTTCTGTTTCTCAAAGAAGCTGTCAACGTTTGTTAGTGCATGAATGATATTGTAACTTCTCTTCCTTGGCCAAATCAAACACGATTGTCTAGTCAGCTGTGATTGAACGGGATGTAGTGGAAGTCTGAAGTGGTGTAATCTCAATTGACAT